CTAAAAAGGCGAATATTGACGTATGGTCAAAAGACGTCCTAAAACGTCAGTTATATGACTTTTTCGGAAACTTACAGACTGTTGACCTCCTCTGAACTGAAAGTTCAAAAGTTTACGCTAAGTGAATCAGCTATTAAAGGCATAATGATTAATAAAAGAAAAATATTTCAAATGCTAATAAAGGAAAAAAAAATCATAATAATTATTAAATGATATTTAGGCCTAAGATATAAATAATAAAACATGATAAAACATAAGCAAGAAATATGTGTATTTCTATGTGTGTGTGTGTGTATATATATATATATATATATATTGAAGGGGATATCTGGTTCTGGGTCCTTAACTGTTTACCCCTAACAATATATATGTATATGTGTAAAAATTATATATATATAACTTTTCTGTTTCATCAATGAATGTATTATTGTATATTTTTTATTATTGTACAAAATATATAAATGTATTTTGTATTATTTGTAATGTATCACTTGACTTAGTTTGAGGTACGTATGGGCAAGAAACTATAAAAAAGAACAGAAAGGAAGAAAGGGTTAGAAATAGAGATTTTTTTGACCGTGAAAACACTGGATTTATGTTTTTGGAAAATTATTAATCTTTTGAATTTCTCTCATAATTTAACAAGACAAAGAAAAGCTAAACATTTATGCTGCAATAGTCAAAGATCAGGAGTAAAATGAGAGTTGGGTATTATTGCTAATGACGAAAGTGAAAGTAAACCAGGAGTTAAGTGCGGGCAATCGCTGGATTTTGATAAGAGTCATTCAAATTTGTTTCTTCAAATCAGTGGGAATTTGACTTGTTCTAGAAACTGAAATGTAACTTTGCAGTTACGTTTTTTAATTTCTTGATCTTGACTCAAGCTGCGCTCACACTACCAGCGTATCTGCGTCGCCATTGGCCGGCGGCGAGCTCGCTGGCGTTCGTGGGCGTTCCCACTATTGATTGCCTAATGTTTGACATTCACTGATGTTTCTCCATGATGTTGTAGACAACAAATCAGTTTTCTTGCCGCAATAAACAAACATTTTGGAAGGAAAAGTCTAAATATAAATGGAATCAGTAGGCCTACATAATAAATGCATAATATTAATAAACAGCTCTTTGCCGTCGCAGCTATTTAACTGCAGCAAACGGGCAAAGGCCGGTCTTTGTTCACAAACCATTTAGGCTCGGAGTCAGCACAGCGAGTACCGCGGAGACATATTATAGTAAATTATAGGACAGTTTCTGACTGCTAAAATAAGCTTCTCATTCATCTTGCCTCGGTCGGATTCGGACTCGGCACAGAAGAGCGCGCTCCACTGACTTCACTTCTATTGGTTGTCGCTCCCGAAAGTCGCTCTTCATTTGCATAAAGTTTAACCCTTTATGACCTACCATAGAACGGTTCCACCAGAGTATATCTTTCTATTTTTACATGCTGTGCTGTCATTCTATTGAGCATTTTCATATGCCATACATCAAAATAATCCTTACTTTCTCTACTTGAAGGCTATGTTTGTAATAAATCAATATACCTAGGCTAGATAAATATCTCAAAAGTGCAATAAACAAAAAGAAAAACTATTTTTTTTTAAAATATTCTACATATTTTATTCAATACAAAAAAAATGATCAGTGTCAACCTCAAACTTGTCAATGAGAAAAATGTGCATAAAACAGTTTAAAAATATACATAATTGATTTGAACTGTTTACATCAATTAGTTTTTAACAATATGCTGTTCGACTTCATGCAGCTCTGCGCAGACCGATCGGCGGCTGACTTGAAACAGTGCATGCCGGTTAGAAATTTTGTCCGACTTGATGCAGCGCTGACTCCACATGACTGTGATGTATGCCACCAAAGTACCGCGAGAGCGATACGAGAGTAGCCGGAGGACTCAACCAGCGCAGCTTCTCAAGAGCGGCTGCACGAGCTCTGATGATGTCACAGCTGTTCCACGATTCGCCGGATTCAACGCATGACAACGATCACGTGCGTTTTGTGTTTATTCTCATACATTTAGTTCCACTAAAGCTCACAAATCAGTTTTTTTATAACAGTAAACAGTCTTTTCATGTAGTCGCGATGTTATGTTGTGTCATGCTTATCATATTATGAAAATAAAACTGATTAAAAAACGTTGACTCCACGTCATTGAATTGGCTTATTTTGAACTTTATTCTAGTTCAAACAGATGCTGTATGAAGCAGTAACCTTTTGAATGAAAATGTGTTGTTATTTATTAACAACATAAATGTATTTTTAACAGGGGGGGGGGGGTGTACAGTGTGTTTTCATTGAAAAATTGTGTTCTGATATATATTCTTCACATAAATTGAGCCAAGGCCAATGAGTCTTGAGTTTGAAAAAATAATTAATCGTATCATTTTTCTTTTGATAAAAAATGAAAACAGGTCCAGCAGACCCGAACACCATACAAGGGTTAAGAGTAAAATGTAGAAGTGCCGGTACTGCTTACCGGTGAGTACCGCCCGAGCACTGGATGTAACGCTTTGTTCACAAGATGTAAAATGATGTCCCCAGAGTGTGTATGTGAAGTTTTAGCTCAAAATACCCCACAGATATTTTTATAAAGCATGTTAAAATTTTCACTTTTTGAGGCTGAGCAAATACTGTTTGAGTCTGTTCCTTTAAATGCAAATGAGCTGCTGCTCCCTTCACACAAAAACAGCAAATGGGTTAATATATAAAATCCAATAAGCTGGGTAAAAATATCTTAGCATGTGTTCTGTCCAATATTAAAGTCTTTAAATCGCTAGTGTGATTTGTCTCTGTGGTCTCGTCTGAGGAGCAACTCCTCCATCTAGTGGCTCACCCTGAACTCACATGTTATCAGAAGTTATTTTCAGTCTCTTCTGTCGCTGACTCGACTAGTTCTGTCTGATTGGTTTTGATGTTCAGCTGGAGGTTTGTTTGCTTTCTCACTAAAGAATTTCTTCACAAACATGCTATTTCTTTTATATTGTGAACACAGAATTTCTCTTTTTATAGCTGAATCGAGTTTATTGGTCTTTTCTTGTCCTTCCAGATCTTGTTAACCTCAAACTGAATCTCTTGCCCTTAAGTGCTGAAGTCAACTTCTGTTATAAGGCACTTGCTCTGGCCTCAACAACATCATGAACGCTTTCAGCTGTATGTTTGCAGTTATGTAAAGAATTTTGTTGCAACAACACAGGCAAACATTATATTTGATTTAGTGGCTTTTGAGTCACTTTTGAGCAATGGTTTTTCCCTTTTACTTTATCAGTGTGTCTGGTTTGATCTGTCGGTGGATAAACAGCTTCTGCTGAATGTTTGTCATCTCTTTGTGTGTCAGCAGTTTGTGGCTGAAGTGTTTCTTCATTTTCTCTCCTGCTAATAAGAAATTCACAATCTTCCACACAAAACATCTTTACACTGAAATGAAAGCTTTAATGAAATCCTCCCCACTACCACCATGGTCCCTTCTCGTACCTCACTTCAGGCTTTCGTCTTCTGGAAGGAAATGTCCGGACCCTCGAATTGCCAGCTATGGACGGGGCCTATGCCAAAGATCTTTATATCATAATATTGCTTGCTGGGCTGGGTTCATTGTTACAGTATTACTCTCCCGAGTCTTTCTGGTGGAAATAAAGTGAATCCATCATCAGACAAATGAGAGTCAGAGGTAAAATATGATTGACAGCTCACAACACTAAATAACACACCAGTAGATACAGATATCTAAGCCAATATTTCTCTTTTCTGCTATTAGTTTTGATTCAGGGCCGGAATTCATTTGAAAATGTGAGATCAGCAAAAGCTTGTTGATGTTCGTGATGTTAAAGGAGACGAGTGTGTGAGCGGAAACTAACTGATGTTGGTGGAGGATTCAACCTGATAAATATCTCAGTCTTTCAGGTCAATCTTACTATCGTGGGCTTTTCAGTAAGCCGATGAAGAAGATGTTTCTCAAATTAGTTTTGCTCTGCTTGTGTTTGTGGCGTCTGGCTGGTGAGTTTAAATGTGTTTTCATGACTTCAGTTGTTTCTGTTCTGATGTGATAAATTACTGGTTCAATTAGTTTACTTAAACAATCACTGTTAGTGTCAGCAACAGTGCTCATGACTCAGGAAATAACTCAAAGAACAGAGTTTAATATAATCCACACAATACACAGGAGAATTATGAGGAGAAACAACCATGTCATGTAGACGATACTGGACGATGAAATGGACAGATCTCAGGGTTTAAATAACAGGGAGATTATTGGAAGAAGAGAAACAGCTCTGAGATGAATGAACTAATGATGGAGAACACAAGCAAATGAAACAGAGAGAAAACTAAACCTAAACAGAAACATATAGAAATATTTCAGGGCTCGACATTAAGGCTTGTCCGCTTGTCCGGGACAAGTCGATTTTTTGTAGGACAAGTAGAAGAGAAAATTAGTAAAAATTAGAAAAATTAGAAAGTTAACGTAAATTTCAAACAAAATAAAATGCCATGTTACTTCACGTTATGTGCCACTCGTTACGTATATTTTACAGATTTAATTTTACCGATTTGAAACGAACACATTTTTCGCGTTGCCTGTGAATGTCCTGAATGTGACTCACAGAAAGACGCGCGCCAGTATAATGCGCATGCGCACAGACCGCGCCAGAAGTTCTCTTTCGCGCTTGAACGAACATCAACAACACACACAATTAAGCCAAAATTTCTTTTGTCGAGTATCTTCATAACATAAAAGCAGTCTTTTGATGGACATAAAGAGTTGTGACTCGGGCTTCCGGTGACGTCATCTAACTGATGGCAGCTTGAAAAGTTAGCTCTCCGACCAAGAAATAGAATTTAGCCCCGAAACTCGAGAAACAAACTCGAATTGCCATTATTGTAGTCATGGAAGAGGGGGCTCAAGTACACACTAGGCGAAAACAAAAGAAACAACAGCAATCTGGAAAATTAGAGCGAGATGCACGTACGGGGGCAAAATGCCGAGTCGCCATTAAATGTTTGTTCGGAGGATACCGTACTGGAGCAAGGAGGCAGCGAACCCGAGGAGACTGGCTATGATTCTCCACGAGTTGCGTGATTTTAGGAGAGACAATTCTGATCAGCTAAAAGACATTAAAGAGAACATCCAAAAAACCAACGAGCGATTAGAGGAAGCTGAGGAACGAATCGTCGGTTTGGAGGAGAGATCGCAAAACACCGAAAGCGTAATGGCGGAGGTTTTGAAACTTCAGACGCAGTTGGAAGAGAGGATAACAGATCAAGAAGGCCGTTCGCGACGGAACAACATCAGGATTTACGGGGTCGTGGAAGGGGCAGAGGGCAATTCGCCATCGATGATTGCTTTCATCGGGGATATGCTGAGAGAGAAACTGGAGTTGGACACTTCGCTATCCTTTCAGATTGAGAGAGCACATCGCGCGCTAGCTCCACGGCCGCCAGAAAACGCACCACCGCGATCAATCGTAGTGAACTTTCTCAGTTATAGAATGAAGGAGGAAATTTTGCGATCCGCGTGGAGGAAGAAGGGCTTTGTCTGGCAGGACAGGAAAGTGAACATTGATCATGATTATGCCCCAGAAGTACTTAGAAAGCGCAAGGAATATAATAAAGCAAAGAAGCTACTCAAGGAGAAGATGATACAGTTCCAAACCCCCTTCCCGGCTAAGCTACGGGTTTTTTTCCCCAGATGCGATCCAGGTATACAACACTGCGGAAGAAGCGACGAAAGATTTAGCTGACAGGGGATTTCCCATCACTGTCATTCAGCCTCCTGGGACACTGATGGAGCGAATTCAACGTCTCACCTGGCGCACGGCTGGTAAAAGAGCGGAACGAGGCCGCACCAGAGACAAACCAACCTACAAGGAAAAGCTTCAGTCTTTTAAACGGTACTCCGACCATTGATTCTATTAAGTTGTTTTTATTGTTGTTGGGTTTTTTTTTTTGTTTTTTTCCCCCCTCCGAAATAGTTTGTGCCGTTTAGTTTTCTGACGCTAGTGTTTTCACCTATAAGAAAAGTATTAATGAATGTCGGAGGACAGCTGTTGATCTGACACATGAGCGCAAGCTGTATTGCCAATGTGATCAGAAAAGCGGGCCCTTTAAAGGAATTCCTATTGGACTGTGAAGGTTTTCCCTCAGGGCCGTTCTGTTTCGGCTCATCCGAGGTCAGAAAAGAGACCTCTTTATTGGAAGTCTTTGAAGTTTTTGTTTTGTTAATGGTTCTTCATTGTTCTCATTTTGTTTTGAGTGTTCAACTGCTGTGCACTGCAGTAAAGGGGGTGTCTGCTCATATGCTGAATCATAAGAATGGTTGCAAGATAAGGTGTATGTTAAATGGAAAAGATGTTAAATAATATTAAGGTGATCTCTTTCAATGTGAACGGGGTACTCAATCCAATTAAAAGAAGCAAAATCTTCTCAAAACTCAAAAAAGAGAATGTTCAAATTGCTCTCTTACAAGAGACACATCTTACACAGGTAGAACACCGCAAGCTGAATAGGTGTGGCTTTAAACATGTGTTTTCATCCTCTTATAAATCTGGCCATAGGAGAGGAGTGGCAATACTAGTATCAAAACAAGTAAATTTTGAACTTATATCTACTATCACGGACAAAGAGGGTAGATATGTCATGATCACAGGAAATTTAGAGGGCTCCCAGTTACTTTCCTTAATGTGTATGCTCCTCCAGGATCCGATTGGTCTTTTTATAAAAATATATTTGATTTAATGGCTACTAAAGCACAGGGGATTACAATTTGTGGAGGGGATTTCAACGTTAGGTTAAATCCTAGATTAGATTCTTCTGGGAGTTTTTCAAGTCAACCTAAACCTATAAGTAAGAAAATGAATGTGATCATGAAAGAGCTGGGAGTAACAGATGTGTGGAGATATCTTAATCCCTCTAGGCGGGTATATTCCCATTTTTCTTCTCCACATTTAGTTTATTCTAGAATTGACTATTTCTTTATCTTTAGTAAAGACAGAAACAGGATAAAGAGCTGCGAGATAGGAACAATAGATCTCTCTGACCACAGTCCTGTCTACTTGACTTTCGAATTGAATAACAAAGCAAGGTCTACGCTCTGGCGTTTAAACGCTAGTATTTTAAATGGACTTAAAGAGCAGATGAAGGCAGAAATTAACACATACTTGGAAAATAATGACAATGGGGAGGTTTCGCCACCTATCCTCTGGGATGCATGTAAAGCGGTGATGAGGGGGAAAATTATTGCCATCACTTCGCTACTCAAAAAGACCAGGCAGGAGAAACTTAATAAATTACAGGAACATCTAGAGCAGTTACAAAGACAACACATGAGAAATTTAGACTCCAAGGTGAAAAAAGAGATTAAAAAGACTCAGGAAGAAATTAATGATTTGTACATGCAAGAAGTACAGAGAAAGTTTATATTTACTAAGCAAAAATACTACGAAGTGGGAGGCAAATCTTTTAAACTCTTGGCATATAGATTACGCAAACAACAGGCGGAAAATTCGATCCACAGGATCTGTAATCCTACTACCAAAAAAATAGAAAATGGCTTGGATGAAATTCGTAAAAATTTTGAATTTTTTTACAAGAATTTATACTCCCAGAGGAAAATAGATGAAGATTCTCAGGGGACAAAAATACTTGATTCTTTGAATCTGCCTACAATCTCTCCAGAAAATAACAAGAGACTATTATCTGAAATAACGGAAGAGGAGTTGAACATAGCTATTAGGAGGTTGAAAGTAAACAAGTCTCCAGGCACTGATGGATTCATCTCAGAATGGTATAAATCGCTTAGAGAGCCGTTGTCCCCTATGTTACTTGCCACCTTCAATTGGATATTAAAAGGTGGGGTGGTCCCTCCCTCATGGAGGGAAGCCATTATTTCAGTTATACCGAAGGAAGGTAAAGATTAAACTGAGTGTGGAAATTACAGGCCTATCAGTGTCTTAAATGTAGATTACAAACTATTTACATCCATTCTGGCTAGAAGATTAGATGTAATTATTCCAGAACTTATTCATCCAGACCAGACTGGGTTTGTCAGGCTGAGACAAACTCAAGATAATATTAGGCGTTCTCTACATATTATGAGCTATATAACTAAACACAATGTTGAAGCTTTATTAGTCGGATTAGATGCGGAAAAGGCATTTGACTCTGTTAGGTGGAAGTACCTCTTTATGGTTATGAAACGATTTGGGTTTCACCAATCTTTTATTAATGTGATTCAAGCACTATATCATAAACCACTAGCGAGAATCAAGGTGAATGGTGATCTTTCTAATCAGATTACTCTAGAACGAGGAACACGTCAGGGCTGTCCAATTAGCCCTATTTTATTTGTCCTATTCATAGAACCCCTTAACCAGTGGATAAGGCAAAATGACAAAATTATAGGTATAGAAATGGGGACTGGAGTGCACAAGGTAGCTGCCTTTGCAGATGACATTTTAGTTTACTTAAAACAGCCAACCCAGTCTTTTCCAGAATTGATGTCACTTCTCGAGACATATGGTTCATTTTCAGGCTATAAGGTGAACATACAGAAAACCCAGGTTCTCTCATTTAATTATAAGCCACCTGGTTTCATTACCAGGAGTTTTTGTCTCAACTGGGATTCAGTTTCAATGAGATATTTGGGAGTAATTTTATCAAAAGATACATCACGATTATTTCAAGCTAATTTTGCACCTCTAATTTCAAAGATTAAAACCGAAATATCTAGATGGAATCTTATCCCCTTTTTAAGCATGAGCTCTAGGGTCGAATCAGTCAAGATGAACATTCTACCGAGACTTTTATATTTATTTCAGTCTCTGCCAGTGAATATACCAATACAACAGTTCGTAGAATGGGATAAATTGTTTTCAAGATTTATCTGGAAAGGGAAGAAACCCAGAATTCGATTTAAAACATTACAGCTATTGAAGGGAAAGGGGGGGAATGGCACTACCTTGTTTGAGTGACTATTATTATGCTGCCCAGATCAAACCCTTGGTGTATTTATGTAATCCAGCATACCAATCTAGATGGAAGGAAATAGAAAGTGTCATATCTCAGGATGTTCCAGTTCAGGCAGCTTTGGGTGATATTATTGATAAATAATTTATTAACTATAGATAATCCTTGGTTAAATGTATCCTTAAACATTTGGAAAAAGATAGGGAAATTACGTGATGTGAAAGATTCTATGGTATTGCTGCGCTGGTGTGCCTATGATACGGAGTTTGTTCCTAATAAAACAGATAACAGGTTCAAAAGGTGGACAACTAAAGGCTTAACTGCCTACATTTATGAACAAGGGGAATCTCCAGAGCTTTCATATGCTTAAAGGAAATCATGGGCTGGAGAACCAAGACTTTTATAGATATCTACAACTGCGCCACTATTTAGAACATGCTAAAGGAGATGTGTTAAGAAAAGCGGAAAATGGGTTATTAAAGGGTTTTTTTTTCAGCCTATCAATCAGATGTCTGTAAAAACATAATCTCAAAGCTGTACGGTGGGCTACAACAAGCTAGGCAGGTAGACACATTATACATAAAGAGTAGATGGGAGCGAGAAGGTAATCTGAGTCTTACGGTAGAGGAGTGGGAAAGTAAATGCGAGTCACAATGGAAAACTACACATTCTTTGTTCTGGAGAGAGTTTGCGTGGAAAGGTGTTTCTAGGTTTTTTTCCACACCTGCCCAGACTAAGCAACAATCACCATATTGCTGGAGAAGTTGTGGGTTTGACATGGCAAATCACTTTCATATTTTCTGGAGTTGTCCTTCCATTAATCAATATTGGTACGAAATACATACTTGTTTAGAAATAATTTTTAAGATTTAAATTTCTTTTCAGATTTGAGGTGATGTATTTGGGTTTGATTAGTAGTGCTTTTCCAAACAAATACCTGTTCAGAATCCTAACTATAGCAAGCAAGAAAGCAATTACAAGAAAGTGGCTGCAACCAACTTTGCCTATACTCTCGAAGACTGGAAGAATATAGTGCATGATATCTTTACAATGGCGAAGCTAACCTATGCTCTAAGACTAAAGTCCCAGTTGTTTTCAGTTCTATGGAGAGATTGGATTGATTATATTACCCATATACAACCAGATTTAGGTTAATTGAATAAAATAAAGACAGTTGCGATTTAGTGACCTTGGGCAGACACTCTGGAATTGGGTTAAATGTGTTGCTGTAGTGGTAATTTATTTATTTATTATTATTTCTTTTTATTATTTATTTATTTTTTTGATTTATTTTTTTACTCATATAGGTATTGTATATTTGCTATTTTTTAAATGTATAAGAATGTATCCCTTGGGTTCAAGTCATTCAATACTTTATTGTAACAAAGTATAACCTTTTTGTGACAATCTGAATACTATACGCTTATAATGTCGGTGTTTCTCTATACTGAGTAATTTATTTATTTATATTTTGTCTGTTTTGATTGTGTTTTGCTGATGTTTTGTTCCCTTTTTTGTTGTTGTTTTCTTGCTTGTGGAAAAATAACGAAAATAAAGAATTAAAAAAAAAAAAAAAAAAAAAGAGTTGTGACTCGTGAGAGAATGAGGCGCGTGTAAGATCCGCGTCTCTGTCCACAGCGGTTTCTCTTAAAGAGCCAGCTACCAATAAAGCGTTCTGTAAAGTTAATGAAAGAACAAAGGGAGCAGAAAATTACTCACTGCTCTTGACTAAAGAACTTGTGTATATTTAATAAGGAGTAGTATATATATAATTTATGCAGCGCAGACTGTTTGATAACTTTATTCAATATGTCCTACCTTAGACAGTTAATTTTTTATCCAGACATCAATGGCCTGTTGATAATTGTTATCAATCATTTAGTTATTGCTAATTTCAGAATTATCACTAAACTGTGTGTGCATTTGGTTTAGAACCAAACAAGTTGACTCATGAAAGCATTTGTTTATTATATCGCAATCGCATATCACAACCGCAATATTGACCTCAATAATTGCAATATGACATTTTCCCCAAATCGTGCAGCCTTAGATAAAATTATAAATCTTTACCCGGACAAGTGACTTTTGTGCATGGACAAGTGAAACATAAATTACTTGCCTGAAGGACAAGTGCCTCAAAAAGTTAATGTCAAGCCCTGTTATTTGAACTGTGATTTTACTGTCAGATCAAGTTCGAATTCAGCTCTAAACTCAGTTATTATGGATCGATTGAATAATAAAAATTGAAGCTCAGATACTCAACAGAATTAGTTAGTGTGACATTAAACATTAAAGTAAACGTGTATTTTTTTTGTTATTTTACTTTTCATTCATCTTTAAATGATTAAAAGTATTTTAGTGAAGCTTCATCAAACCAACCTCAAGTAATTTTAATGCTTTAATCTGTGAAAATCTCTGTTCCTTTAGGAGTGTTTGATGATTCAGTGTTAGTGATGGAGGGAGATTCAGCCACTCTAAAGTCTCCTCTTCCTAAAATGAAGGATCATGATGTGATTGAGTGGCTATTTAAAGATGAAAACACTTTAATAGCAGAAATCCATAAACAGGCCGACAGAATCACTGTATATGATGATGTTCTTGATGGGAGATTCAGAGACAGACTGAAGCTGGACAATCAAACTGGATCTCTGACCATCACACACACCACAATGAAACATGATGGAGATTATCAACTACACATCCACAGTGGGAGTAAAAGGTTTAGACTCATTGTCTTCGGTGAGTTAAATATCAGTTTCACCTGTTTTATATTTTAATCAGCACATATATACAATTATTAATTCAAACTCCATGTTGCTTCTGTTGTTTAATGATGATATAACATTTCAAACTATTTACTTTTCTGTTGAACTCTTTCTGTTTGTTCTTCATGTCTGTGTATTCAGTTAAAATATTAGTGATGGATGGAGATTCAGTCTCCCTAAACTCTGACACTGAAATTAAAGATGATATAATTCTGTGGTGGTTTGAAAAGACTGTAATAGCAGAAATCAATAAAGATTCCGACAGATTCACTGTATATGATGATCTTGAGAGATTCAGAGACAGACTGAAGCTGGACAATCAAACCGGATCTCTGACCATCACAAACATCACAACTGAACATGAAGGATGTTATACACTCGAGATCGAATTACAAAGAAGGCGTTCTTTTTGTCTCACCGTCTGTGAGTTAAATATCAGTTTTAGTTTTTTCATCTATTAGATCTAGATCTAAAGAAGCATCTTATCATGACTAATTTGTTAAAATTACTTATTAAAATGTTTACATAAACAGCCAGGTTTATATTTAACTTTCTATTTATTTTCTTAAATATCTTCATTCATCCTCATGTATGCTTATCTTCTCATGTTTTTCAGCTCGTCTGCCTGTTCCAGTCATCAGCAGAGACTGTTCATCATCATCATCATCTTCATGTTCACTGGTGTGTTCATCATCAGTGGTGAATGTGAGTCATGTGACTCTGTCCTGGTACGCAGGAATGAGTGTATTGTCCAGCATCAGTGTGTGTGATCTCAGCATCAGTCTCTCTCTACCTCTGGAGGTGGAATATCAGGATAAAAACACCTACAGCTGTGTGCTGAACAATCCCATCAGCAACCAGACCACACATCTGGACATCAACACACTCTGCAGACACACATGTGAAGGTACGACAGCGCTGATATTAGTTGATGTCAGCGCTGATATTAGTGTTTATTGACTGATCTGATGTCAGTTTGATGTGTTTATTCCTCAGACTCTGTCCACTGTTGTGGTCCTACTGAAGCTGTGATCCGATTGGTCCTCTCTGCTCTGGTGGGCGTGGCTACTGTCATCATTCTGGTTTATGACATCAGATCCAGAAGAGCTGAACGAGATCAGGCACATATTCACACATCAGAAACCTAAATTATGATGTACTTTTAATCATTTATTAATCTTCATTTATTTGTAGCTTGATATATCCATCTGCTAGTATCAATGTTCATTTATAGGCGGCTCATTTCCACCATAGAAACAATTTTCAAAGGTGACTTTGCTCATGCTAACATGATGTCCTTGTTTTGTTACTTTAAAAAAAAACTTTACTTAAACCTTTTTATTTCTACAATCTAATATTTCATTTTTGATCAGAGATTTTAAACACACATATAAGGATCTTGTCCGTCTTTAAGGTTTATTATTGTTCAGTCAGTGGTTAGGGGTGTTTACATAGGCTACGTATCTAATATTAATTAACGAAGCTATGGCTAAATGTAAATACATTGAAACATAACAGCTCTTTGCTTTTTTTCATGTCGGATTTTTTAATTTTGAAAGGGTTTATTGTTTATATTTCGTTGTAAGACAATCAGATATCACTTCTTCTGTTGTATTCTGCTTGCATTTAAAGTTTTCTCACTCTCCGTGTTTTATTTTATATAGGCTATGATGTTGAGCGCCTCCTGGAGGAGGAAAATGAAAAACTTTACATTGTGATAGTTTTCCCCATACGCACCTGGGCTACCGTCTACAGTCGAAACCCAGTCGACAATTAATATTTATTAATTCTCTAGAGCAGGGTCGGCAACAGATATCTAGCCAGATTGTTTTGATAGCGGAACAGATCTGTCATGACAGCAACAGTTACTCACAAAAACTTAAGTCTTTAGTGATTTTGCCTTCAAAATAAAAGAGAACGAGAACGTTTTTGCAGCGATGTTTTATTTTGAGATGAATTGAGAGCTTTTAATTTGAAATGTTCTGAAAGACATTGGTATCAAAATAGTCTGTGGATCACGTCGTTGCAGATAAAACACACCGGCTTTGCATTTACAAAACTAGGTAGGATGAACTCATGTGTCTTTCCATTCTTCTTTGAATCCCCTGTTTTCGCTGTCAACTTTCCTTTTTAGACTCTATGATGCGGTGCCATTTTCTCTCACTAACTATCTTAAGTTAAAGGTTAACATCACTCAGCACACGACGTAACACTTTCAGCATGCCAGCTGAAAATGAAGTTTAGAAAATGAAGTTTAGTTAGCTACGTTATTATGTCAAGGAATACTTATTTAGTTGGCTTGGATTGGATTTGATTGTCCACGACTTTCCAAAGTAGTGAAAATAAACAGAGATTGATTAGAAGAGAGACTTAAGTCAAATCCACGTCACTCCCTCGGCAGCTGTACACTTACAGCAGCAGCAATAACTAGGTTTTTTTTAATGCCAAGGTAATAAAACACAATATAATAGCGTTATGAATGTACATTAAAATTCATATAGGGTGATAACTGGAGGCACGTCATAACGGTATGTGAATGCTTCTCCTCTCCAGCAGGGGGCGCTCTGCACTTAACAAGCTTTCTGGTCTTACTAGAAACACTGGCGCACAAAAATGTTGACTATTTTTAGTCTATTTCAAATCAACCCATTTCTACATAATGACCAGCTATAAATTTCACATCTGCTTGTGTGCAAGCCACTGCGGTGAATGGGTTGCCTAGATGTGCACTTGTTCTGGGTAATAAACACATGGACGTAAACATAACATCTAACATCAACAGAGCTGTCCAGTTTGGCTTGAGTTCTGATGGTCTGGAAAAGCAGCCCAGTCAGAGCTAATGGACGGAGTAGTCCTGGAGGAGCCAAGGTTTCCATTAAGTTGCGTTAATGCATTCAGGAGAGACTCACGTGGCTCATCTCTTCGTATCCCGTTTCAGACGCGCTCAGTATGAAAGCCACGGAGGCAGAGACGGCACCCTTTATCTGATATTTAGAGTTTGGACTGCAAATGAAAGTGCCACTTTTGTCTCAGTGACCCATACGCACAGAGCATGTCCAACATCCCGTCTAGCCTTTCTTTAAACCCGGGGAGATGTGTGTCGTCCATTAGCAGAGCAGATCAATTTCATCGGGTCCAGGAGGTTGGCCTGAACTCTTTATAGTTCTCCTTCCTCCGTCAAGCACAAGATCTCGTGTTTTACAGCTTGCAAACTGTCTAGGTTATTGTTCTGAGGGCTTTGCAGAGGAGCGTTAATGTTCTGTCTGGGGAAAATATTGTGAAGTGGTACATACGATATTGTCTCGAAAGTGCTTGATGGGTTTCCAAATGTTTGGAAAATGCAAATGTGGCTAAACTAAACTCTCCAGAGTCTAATGTCTTGTTATGACGATATGCAGAATTGTATAAATTGTGCATGCGAAAAACATATATTAGGCCTATATGAAGAGTTCAGATGCAAAAGCCTCTAAATGCCATTTGAAATTTTCTTCTAAAATGACCTTAAATGACCTCAAATGTCATTTAATTCACTTAAATGACAATTCATAGGTAATCTTCATTGCCATTTAAGTGAAATTACTGAACTTGAATATACAAGCTTGATAAAAATGATCATTTTAGAAGAAAATTTCAAATGGCACTTAGAGGCTTTTGCATCTGAACTCTTCATATATTTATATATGACCCTGTTTCATGTTGAACGTGTTGTCTTTTTATTGCGATGCTGCAATGATGTGGCCGACCAAAGCTCTTTTGAAACATAACGCTTATAAATGCACTTCTTGTGCGTCAATGTTTTTTTATCTTTTATCTAATGTAATAACCCAGCTAATAGGGAACCAGAACTTAGGCTAATGTGATGAACTTATAAACGTTCTTCCAGCAACCATAACAGAACAGTACCTGGTCAAAAGTCCTCAGAAATTCCAATGAATGAAATTCTAAAATTCCATGAACGATGTATAAATAAAATTCTCAAAACGTTATTTATACATCGTTCGTGGAATGTTAGCATTTTTAAACGTTAATACACGCTTGTTTCAGACACTCTAAAGTAATGTTCCCATGTTTGCAAATTGATTCAATCTCATAATTTTTAAGAAGAAAAAAAAACATTTAAAGAGAGAACATAACGCAATGGGAACATTTGCAAAATCATGTTCTAAGAACCAATTTTTTTTTAGCAAGGATAGCTCTGGCCAAGCATCAAAACAGATTGCAGCAAGTCAGAGGTATGTGTGTGGGCTCGGCAGTTACTGTAATAAAAACATATTTAATATGCTGCAATTAAACTCCCACTATCGCTCTGAAAGAAGCCATTTACTCTAAAAGAGCAAAGAGTAGGACATGATGTCTATGGTCTGTCTTTTAATATAAAAACGCTTCAGGCTTGACATTAAATCAGTGTATGACCTTTAGAGCGACAAACAGAAGACGCGCTATATATTCGAACTTTGTGTGTATGACACAGATGTATTATGATGCATCAAAACTGTTCTGATTTAATCAGGCTGCTGTGCAGCACATTTGTCTTGCGTAGTAGTAAAGGCGACGCAATATCATAAACAATGAGTAAGACATTTGTTTCACATCACTTTTCAGAAGAAAACAATGATAACACAGGCCACTTCTGCAAAATGTCACGATATTCCACTTAAATAGCCCTGTAGACACGTGATTGTGTCACAATAAGCTTTATCGGGGCTGCATGTTTCTGTTTTGTTCAATTTATTATTTTGTTAGTTAACGCCAGTCTCGTTCGACAAAAAGAGAAAGAATGATCCCAAAGCTAAGCATAATGAAACTTGTTTTGAATGTGTTTTTGAATTAATCTAACATACTTTAGCATCTATTATGCACAAAAGCAGTTACTGGAAGCACCAATTGGCGTACAGTACAAACTTACTAAACAAATCAGTAAGTGATTGAATCAAAGACCCTCCCTTTTTGCATAACTGATTAATAGAGTCCAAGGTTTTTTATTTTCATGTTTCATTCGAAAAAGTCGGACTGGAATACATTTTTCTTGGCCCTTGTGTCTCGATACGTTATGCATTTGTTTGTGATTCAGTTATGAATCATGGCAAGATGTGCATAAAGATATTATTGTCTTCACGCCAAGGTTTTCTTTTGTCCTGAAGGTCATTTTAAAAGTGTTGGCTCATATTAACTGTGATTTAAACCAAATTCATACGAAAACCCGAGATGGAGAGGATCTTGATCCTTTTATCTCCAGGGCAACAAAGAGTTAAAGGGTTAGTTCACCCAAAAATGAAAATTCTGTCAGTATTTACTCACCCTCATGTTGTTCCAACCCCGTAAGACCTTCGTTCATCTTCGCAACACAAATTAAGATATTTAAGATATTAAGATCGCTCCTGCATACTAGTCCATAGGCTTCTTGAGGGACTGGCTCCTGCTGTCCCCGAAAAGTCATTAAAGACATCGTTAAAATAGTCCAAGTGACTACAGGGGCTCAAGCTTAAGTTTATCAAACGACGAGAACACTTTTGTGCGCAAAAAAACAACAAAAATAACGACTTTATTTCAACTATTCACTTCCTTCTCCATGAGCCTGTAAGTCAGTTAACGTAGTGTGATTGCGTAGAGCTACGTCACACGTAGGCTCACTATTGGCCGACGCTGGTCATGTGTGTGTGATGCGTGTGACGTACAATAACAGAAGCTTACGCTATTAAACTAGTAACCTGACTCGCGCAGAGGGAGAAATAAACGAATAGTTGAAATAAAGTCGTTATTTTTGTTGTTTTTTTGCGCACAAAAGTGTTCTTGTCGTTTGATAAACTTAAGATTGAGCCACTGTAGTCACTTGGACTATTTTAACGATGTCTTTAATGACTTTTCGAGGACAGCAAGAGCCAGTCCCTCAAGAAGCCTATTGACTGTATGCAGGAGCGATCTTAATATCTGAAATATCTTAATTTGTGTCCCGAAGATGAACGAAGGTCTTACGGGGTTGGAACAACATGAGGGGTGAGTAAATACTGACAGAATTTTCATTTTTGGGTGAACTAACCCTTTAAGTACCTTATTTAAATCACACCATCAGATCCTGATTAGTGGCCATGAGTTCTGGACTACCTGAGGATTTGGAGACATCAGGAAGTGTTTGTACATTGTTGATATGCTGTCAGTGATCCAGACACAAATCTGGAAGGCTCTGCGCAGGAAATGAAGAAACAACATAGCCACAAGTGATGAAAACGAGTTCGGTTGCCAGATCGCCGTCCGTGTTTACAAACTATGAATAAACGGTGCTCCTATGGTTATAATGAGCAAGTCTAGATTAAAGTCTCGCAAAGGTCAAGCTGTTAACAAAGCAGGGAAGTTCTTTCCTAAACATCTAACCATTTTTCCTGTGCATCCAGTCCAGTGTTTAGAGGACAAAGCTGTAATTGAGATATAATCTACATCCGTATTAAAATCACAACGCTACTCTTAAAGTGGTAAGGTCAAGCGTTTCCCTTGAGCAACGGCTGCAGACAGCATTAGGCTACCGTCTCATTCAGAGCGGCTCTGTTCTCCCGTGCCTTGTCTCAGCGTCTGGTCTTGATGGATTGCCTGTGTGAATGATGGAGCGATGAGGGAGAGATGATGAATTGGTCACGTCAAGCACGCTCTTAAAGGCGGAGGGGGTTTGAAGTTCACGCCGCCCAGCCGAACAGGCAAAACAATGATCTCAGATCAGCTGCGGTGAGGCATTTGACAGAATGACATGTGATCCACACTGTTAGACCTTACCAGGATTTTTACAGTAAAATACTGTAAAAATGCACTAAAATTAATAAGTTGTATTTTTTAGTTAACTTGAGTTTTAGTTCATTTTTACAGTAAATTACTGGCAACAGTGTTGTAAAAATGCACTAAAACTAATAAGTTGTATTTTTTAGTTAACTTGAGTTTTAGTGCATTTTTACAGTAAATTACTGGCAACAGTGTTGTAAAAATGCACTAAAACTAATAAGTTGTATTTTTTAGTTAACTTGAGTTTTAGTTCATTTTTTACAGTAAATTACTGGCAACAGTGTTGTAAAAATGCACTAAAACTAATAAGTTGTATTTTTTAGTTAACTAGAGTTTTAGTTCATTTTTTACAGTAAATTACTGGCAACAGTGTTGTAAAAATGCACTAAAACTAATAAGTTGTATTTTTTAGTTAACTTGAGTTTTAGTTCATTTTTTACAGTAAATTACTGGCAACAGTGTTGTAAAAATGCACTAAAACTAATAAGTTGTATTTTTTAGTTAACTTGAGTTTTAGTTCATTTTTTACAGTAAATTACTGGCAACAGTGTTGTAAAAATGCACTAAAACTAATAAGTTGTATTTTTTAGTTAACTTGAGTTTTAGTTCATTTTTTACAGTAAATTACTGGCAACAGTGTTGTAAAAATGCACTAAAACTAATAAGTTGTATTTTTTAGTTAACTTGAGTTTTAGTTCATTTTTACAGTAAATTACTGGCAACAGTGTTGTAAAAATGCACTAAAACTAATAAGTTGTATTTTTTAGTTAACTTGAGTTTTAGTTAATTTTTTACAGTAAATTACTGGCAACAGTGTTGTAAAAATGCACTAAAACTAATAAGTTGTATTTTTTAGTTAACTTGAGTTTTAGTTCATTTTTACAGTAAATTACTGGCAACAGTGTTGTAAAAATGCACTAAAACTAATAAGTTGTATTTTTTAGTTAACTTGAGTTTTAGTTCATTTTTTACAGTAAATTACTGGCAACAGTGTTGTAAAAATGCACTAAAACTAATAAGTTGTATTTTTTAGTTAACTTGAGTTTTAGTTCATTTTTACAGTAAATTACTGGCAACAGTGTTGCCAGTATTTTACTGTAAAAAACCTGGTAAGGTTTCTATAATCTATTTATACATGAATCGCGATTCTATCTTCTTCCGATTTGCATCGATCAGTGATGCAAACACATGTACGGTCAAAAAAGAGAGAGGTAACTGAAGCCCTCGTCCCGCGGCAAAAATTCAGATAGCGGTAAGTTGCCACCAACCCCTGCCATCCCCAGCCCACCCCTATAGGCACATAGAGTAGTAGTTGAAATAAAGTTTTGACAAATTTAATTCAGTAGGTTTTTCTCTTCTTCTAGACCTATTTAACTGTCTACTGCAGTCAAATAAGAAAAGTAACACAATCAAATCTACGCAATGCACATATCAAATGGAGGATCGGTGGTTAATCGACTCATTAGGTACCATAAGATTCCCATCCCAGTTAAGTCTGGATGTCCACGGGCCTCCCGAACGGGATTACCATGCCACCTCTCCTCACCATCCAGGATCGGACTTTGATGTGAGCACAGGGGTGGCAGCCAGATGTGGAGGCCCATCTGTGGTCTGGAGCCTCCAGTACAGCCAGTCTTTTAGGATTTTATGTTCATCTGCTCAAGAGGAAGCATGTAACCACAGATGTGATCATTCTGAATCAGGCTCTCTGAACATCCACTATATAGAATCAAAAGATAGACAAAATAAGAAAACGAGTAGAGTTTGATGGAAGGTCAGTTTACAATGTTTTGTGTAGTGTCTCAAAAACCCTGATAATGAAGTTGCAAAGAGTTTCAAAGGGGAACAAACAAAAAGCTGTTTGCTAGCTAGACTTACCTGCCTTGCAAGCAGATTCATACAGGTTTATAACCCGTTGAATGTGTTACTTACAGTTGCAATCTGTTTTGATGCTTTTTTTTTTTTTTAGAGCACTTAAACATCCCGATTTTGTGCACAATCCACTGCACCACAGCTCTGATGTCTCTGCATTTCAATCTGGGACAGGACAAAGCATTTTAACATTGACATATTCATTAAAAAATGACAAAACTATACAAATATGATAATATGTTTTATATAAAAATCTGCACCGATCGAAAAAACTTCCTAGTGCAGCTTAAGACTGTTGTGGTTTTGTTTGGCAACCATTATGCATCTTGACCACATGGTGGAGCTTGCAGATTTGTGTAGTCCTATAGAAATGAGTGATGCACAATGAATTAGATTGCATGTTTCAACCAATTTCAAAGTTATCATCAGATCAAAATGTGCCTGCAACTTACTGTATATCAGAGAGAATTCTTGTTATTTCATTGTCTATCTATGCCATGGGAAGCCTTTCATTCTTTTCAGATTACACAAGAGAAAGACCTTTTCCCTTGTTTAGTCTGTCGTGATGGTCCACCTCATGAACAGAGGGATTCTTCTTAGCGCATTGGAGTGGGTTGCAGCTCTGGGTGTCTGCCACATACCGCCAAGGCATCCGTCTACACGGCACTGTGTCTTTGTGTGTATGTGTGTGTGGGCGTTTCTTCCGAGCACAGCAACGGCATCTGCACAACCACTGCCCACTCGGACCAAAACAAGTCACACTTCTTCACTACGCTGGCAAAGACGCTGGTAAAACAAACAAACCAAGGCTAGCAAAAGTTCCACCGCTCCATGCCACTGCAAATATCATACAGTGGTTTTTGTGGACAATCTGAAAGAAATGTTGGAAAAAAATGTTTATCTCAGATTTTGTTGCCACAAAATTTGAATGTTTAGACAATTACTGGAGGGTTAAATTTGGTTAGTATTATCATCATGCAGATCTGAAATGGCCACAGACAACATTTACGTCACTCAATGCTATTTCTTTCCAACATAGCTGAGGTTTCCCTGCAGCATTACGGAAAGAGGACTCATGACTGTTTAAATTGTCCGTTTATGCGAACACTTCCTTATTAAGTTCAGATTGTAAGAGTTCTTGAGATCTTCTGCAAGTAAATTTAGAAAGGAAAAAACGACGACTCTTGAAAAATCAAATGACGATGATTTTTTTTCCCATCTCTCCATGAAAAACATTTGAGCATTATAATGTGATGCAAATAAAACCAAAATTATTACTGTAGCTCAAAATGTTTGCACACATTCTGATTAGTTGACAGGATAGATAGTGCTCCTTTATGAGATAGTGTGTAGCCTAAAATTGCCTACTCCAGTATTGATGTTAATACAGTATCTTTTCCTTGAAGGAATAGAGAGAGAGAGAGAGAGAGAGAGAGAGAGAGAGAGAGAGAGCGAGAGAGCGAGAGAGAGAGAGAGAGAGAGAGAGAGAGAGAGAGAGAGAGAGAGAGAGAGAGAGAGAGAGAGAGAGAGCATTAGGCACTAAAAGCTTTCCTCCTCTGGCTAAAGGCTAATGTTATTGCCATGGTGAAGAATTCTCCTGAGCTGGAGAAACACGCGCTGAGGTGATTCATAAATGGACCGCGAGGATCCTCTGGGACAATAATTAGACATGTCTCAGTCGATCTCTCCCTCCATCTCGCTTTTTTTCCTCTCTCGGATGATGGATTAAGCGTTCATGTGGTCTTGGAACAAACTCATCAAGTTTTAGTCATACTTTTGGCTGTTAATTCGACGACGTTACCGCTTCCTTACCTCAAGATAGGCAGCGCGCGAAACGCTAATCCTACGGCAACGGTTCATCATTTGAATATTAATTAGATCGCGATGACGTAGCTGTCAGCCTTCCAATGGCAAATTAATCTCTTAAAAACTTTAGTTAAATTATTCTGACGTCGCCCGCTGACCTTCCTATAGAAAAGGCTTTTACTTTAAATATTAACTACGTTTTTCTGACGTCGCTTGGTAATCGTCAAATGGCTAATATACATGGATCATGAATAGTAAGAGGCAAACCTTCGCCATAGTAGAATTGGTAAATTCTCCTCGGAGTTCGATGTGAAATGACATGATCTGGTGAGGTTCACTTCACTTCACTTCCAACATCCTCATGTGAACCCTACGGTCATAATTCATGATTTAATGCGGTAAGTGGCATTTTGTCTCCATATTCTATACTTAATGACTTTTGGTTCATTTTTTTGTAATGTTGTAATGTAAAGTTGGTGACAAACTGTATGTTGTAGTAAACTTTATCTGTCTTTCTACCTGTCTGTCTATGCTGTAGCAAAGTATGTTAGGTTTTCATTTTAAGTTCAAAGATCTTTGATAATTTTCACAATTATAACCGTTTTACGGTCAGTTTAAGCTGAAATGAAACTGAAACATTTCAAAGCAGATCAATACGGGGTTTTTGTTGTTGTTGTTGTTGTTGCTTTGTCAGACACTCTGGGCAAACATAAGCCTATGTACTAGGCTATGCATTAGGATTGATAGTTTCTGTATTGAACTGTATTGAACAAGGTGCAACTGCAGGGATAAATGTGTAAATGTGTATGGAAGTGTGTTACAACCCATTTGGAAAGTTTGGAAGCTGTAAAAGCAAATTTTATGTCTTTCAAACTCCGTACTTCATGAATGGGATGCGGTTGGAATGATTGAACCAGCCGGCCAGACAAATTCAAACCACATCATGAAAGGATTTCGATAGGCCAAACCGCTGCATTTTTACTTTACAAGCATGCCATAAACAGACCCTCTGGAAAGTTCTCCTGTGGGTGATGAAGCACAAGCTCACACACGTGGAGACGTGGGCCTATAATGCATGCTTCAGGTTTGACATTTTTAGTGCTCCGGACACCCTGTGAGACAGCAGGTCTCCACTAAATCCTTTCATTTTAACTTCCGTGCTAGATTAATTTGTTTTATGTCCCGTCGATCGAAAAATATTGTTACAAAACACCCCATGGCCATGCTGTGTAATGAAATGTGACTGGGAAATGAGGGACTGCTATATTGATCAGAGATAGAAGGAAAAATTTGTAGCTACAGGTCAATGCACTGGCACACAAGAAGGAGTGACAATCAGCTTGCAATGAGAAATGCGTCACAGAAGTGAAATGCTAGCAATTGGAGACGCGTTGTATGTTTGGAAAGATGGATTTTCCTCATCGAGAAGATCAAAGTCGGCCCATATCAACACGTTCTGGTGTTTAGTATGCATTGCGGCGGTCTCCGTCATGTGCACTTCAAATGAAATTAGAGTTTAATGGTGTTTATTCTACATTCATTGAGTCTGTGACCACTCATGAGGATGAAATATTAGCAGACTGGTTAGTGAATTTGGTGTAAATGCTTCCATGTGTGTCATTTATGGATGCAATGCAATATTATGTGCAAAAACGTGTTTCACATTAGTGTTAAAATACGAATTTCCGAGACCACTAGTAAATTGCTTTTCTAATTTAGTTAAAACTTTCCATTATAAATTAAATTGTCAGCATAACAAATTGAGTTAAATGTTGGAACTGGAAAATGAACATGAATGTCTGAGTATTTTGTTTTTGACATGATCCAAAGAGCATCTTGAGCCTCTTCGACCGTCTGCATGAAGAGTCACGTGATCAATGCCAATCATTTACTTGCTGTTTATTAGTGACCTAGAAGTAGTGTAGAAATATTTCCTCTTCATTTTATGTCAAACCATAAGTTTTCAGTGAAAATGGTCCCAACGTTTTCCCACTTCTACATTATAGAGATGGTTATCCATGATATATATTTACCCCGATTGGGTAGACGGCATTGGAAACGGCTTGTACCAACCCTACAGAAATGTTTTTAGAATCTGACATTTCTACCGCAGATGATTTAGCCTTAACGGCTTCCAAACATGAGGCCATGTAGCCATTATCCAATCAGTCTCAGAGATTTTGTTTGACCTTTTCCTGCATGGATGCTCGCCGGAGCAGAACCAGTCCGGCCATGAGCTGTGTGGCGCAGTCAATCTGGAGAATTGACTTAAAGGGATAGTTCACCCAAAATTCAAGACGTATTACTTTGCTTCATGCCATTCTAAACCTGTATGTTGTTGTTTTTTTTTCTGTGGAACACAAAAGTGAACATTTTTAGAGCATCTTTATGAAGTGATCGCTATGTTTATAGTTGTCCAGCAGCTTCAACATAATAGCTTATGGGTTTGGAACGACACAAGGGATTTCATGTTTGTAAGAATAATAATGGAAATTCCACAGAAAGTGAAAATAAATTCCTCTTCATTTGCTTCGTCATGCAAAATGTACTTCACCAATGAATGCAAATGCAATGCTTTTTGCATTTGCACTCAATTTCAATGCTTTTTTTGATTAATATGATTCGATTCTGTTCTTCTGTTTACCTTTATTACTCTCCCTCTCAAGTTGTCCCAAACCTTTATGAATTTCAATTTCTTTGTTATGCCAAACACAAAAGAAGATATTTTGAAGAATGTTGGCAACTAAACAGTTGATGGGCCCCATTGAGTAGGTTATCTATGGAAGTCAATGGTAGGGTTGGGTTTTGAGAATCGAGTATCGATTGGAACCGGGACTAACTTTTTGTTTTTCCCGGAATCGTTCAAAAGTTAAAATTTCGATTCCTAGTTTCGATATTCACAGTCCGCCGAGCGAAAGAAGAAACCGCTGAACAACACCAACGAAGAAGCGTCTACCGGAAGTGTTGGCATAACCGCGCGAGTCGAACATTAGTAGCTTACGTCAGCGGTCCAAAGTGTGGCTTCACTTTTCTAAAAATAACGCAATCTCGGCAAAATGCAAAATTTGTGACAAAAGGAGTATTTGTGACAGGAGTATTTCCTTCAGAAAGGATTCCCAGACAGCAAACTGACATTGAATCAACGTGGAAACGACGTCTCTCATGACATTGAAACAACGTTGATTTGCTCATCGAATTAACGTTGAACCAACGTCAGACGCGGCATTCTTCAAAGCTAAATGAAATCGAAAATTGGTTTGCTTTCATAACGTTGAAACAACGCGTTGATTTCAAGTTGATTTGTCATTAGTTTTGAAAAAATGACGCATCTGACGTTGGTTCAACATTAATTCGATGAGCAAAACAATGTCAGATCAACGTTGTTTCGATGTCATATTTCCACGATGATTCAATGTCAGTTTGCTATCTGGGTTATTTCCTTCAGAAAGACCGTTGGTTAGCAAGGTTAGCTAAACTTTTTTGACCCTGCCTCTTAAAAGAATCGGAATCGAGAATCGTTAGGAACCGGAATCGAAACAAGGAATCGGAATCGGAATCAGAATCGTTCAAATTCAAACGATACCCAACCCTAGTCAATGGTTTGGTTGCCAACATTCTTCAAAATATCTTCTTTTGTGTTTGGCAGAAGAAACTCACACAGGTTTGGGACAACTTGAGGGTGAGCAAATTCTGACTGAATCCATTTGTGTGTGTTTTATCCATTATAAATGTAGTGCTCAGTTATGCTGAAATCTCTATTTGATGTGTTGCAAAGTAAAACATTTTTCACTTTACGGTGAACTTTTGAAATGTATTTGGCAATGAGAAAATTCCAATATTTCAAAAGCACAGAAGTAAAACTTCTAGCTTCTGTTTTCCTCTTTTAAGTCACTGGTTTAACGTGGTTTTTAATACAGACAGCCATTCGGCATTCATGATTAAGTGCGGGAATAGAAAAGGTGTTAACATACATTTTCCTCGGCTGGAAAAATCTGGCACCACGGTGTCCTATTCACAGCACACTGACACATACCCTCAACCCATTTAGCAATTTCCTGGGGAAAGCTGGACAGTTGCAGACTCTTGCTACACCGTAAACCCAGTGTACACCAACATTAAAATATGTCGTAGTGATGCATGTAACATAGCTGAGGTGATATATAATAGCCTATAAATCATGGATCAGCTGGAAAAGTCATGCCTTTTTTTATATTATCATCCTGAAATATATTCAGCAATAAAGATATACAGAAATATCTTCTTCTCCCTCAGGAAAACTGTATCAGACAGGAGCACAATCGCGCTATTATGACATCACTATGAGGGTGGCCCAGGAATGCTGTGGAAACAACAATAATACATCACATTTTTCTTCAGCACGAAAAGTAGCTTTGGTCATGGCTTTGAAATCCGGTTCTCCCGTCCTCCAGTCTTAAATGGCCAAATCTAATGGATCATTCTGTTCTGATTTGCTCCATGAAAGGACTTGAGACATTTTGTACAGGGCCGAAGCAAACTCTTTTCTACACGTTCACCCCATTTCCCCTTCGTTTTATATTGTTGAGGCAATTTCAGTCCGTAAGAGGGAAAAGGGAGGGAAAAAACTGTTCACTCGGCCCTTAAAATAGGATTCTGGGAACAAATTTGTCCGGTAGCTGTTTGCTGCTCTCTCGTCTTGAGCCATTCAAAACACAGGCGATTTTTTTTCTTTCTTTTTCCTACCAAACGCTTTGAAATGATGAACTTTGACTGGGCAGGGAATCTGCGCGGGAACATCTGCTGTTTAATCATGATTTTTCTCACGCAGTCGATGTCTATCAGCTAAACATGAACATTTATATCTAGGATTCGATTATTACATCCTAGGTTTAAGCACTGTGACTCTCCTTTTCCTCATTTAACGTGAATCTGGAAGTTTCCAAAAGCAGTGCTACTTAAAAAGAATAGTTCACTAAAGTTTACTCTTATGTCGTTCAATTCGTTTGTATACCATTAAATTGGACATTTTGAAGTGCTAAATCTGACTCTTTTGAATGTCTGTCATGCTCCAATGATCACAGAAAAGGCATCAGAAAAGTCGTTTAAAAAGTCTTTTAATAGTTTTATAATATTATGTAATGTATTATAAATAAAACGTACTGAAACGTTGTGTCTAATATTAATTTATGTGTTCAAGTTTGATGACGTAACTAATTGTTTTTACGCTGGACAAAAATGCTTACATATTTTCGTATATATTTTTACAATTATTTATAATATTTTTAGTATATAGTCAGTCTCATAATTTTCTCATTGCTTCAATTTAGTTTCTCAACTAGCAAACAATGTTTTCACATTTTTTCTTCAATGTAAAGTTGACTCAAGCTTTAAGGTCACAAATCTGAAAATTTCTCACATAAAAACAATGAATATGACGTCACGTTTTGTCAATAACGTTTACACACTGCCTACGAAACTTTCATGCGTCATTAGGGTTGGGTATCGAGAATCGAGTATCGATTGGAACCGAGACTAACTTTTCGTTTTTCCCGAAATCGTTCAAAAGTAAAAATTTCGATTCCTAGTTTCGATATTCACAGTCCGCCGAGCGGAAGAAGAAACCGCTGAACAACACCAACGAAGAAGCGTCTACCGGAAGTGTTGGCATAACCACGCGAGTCGAACATGAGTACCTTACGTCCGCGATCCAAAAGTGTGGCTTCACTTTTCTAAAAATAACGAAATCTCAGCAAAATGCAAAATTTGTGACAAAAGGAGTATTTTTACAGAATGAGTATTTCCTTCAGAAAGGCCGTTGGTTAGCAAGGTTAGCTAAACTTTTTTGACCCTGCCTCTTAAAAGAATCGGAATCGAGAATCGTTAGGAACCGGAATCGAAACAAGGAATCGGAATCAGAATCGTGCAAATTCAAACGATACCCAACCCTATGCGTCATAAAATATTTTTTAAATTTTTTTCGCATTTTGAGAGGTGTTTTGACAATTCAGAGCCACCGAATGACGAATACGAAAATTTCACACTCTCGTTACTAATGACACCCAATGAAATTGCTTAATAATGACTCTTTTCAAACAGGTTTCCTGAAAACTCACGCCATCTGCAATTGGTGGGACAAACAGAAAGTTTTTGAAACTTCCAAAAATTTCAGCTCGAACTTATTAAAATTATGAGAAGCTTGCCTTTGAAACTACAACTACACTACGCTTCCATGAGAGTGTTAATGGTATTCAGTAGAGTGGTTTACACCGCCGCCCGGGGTCAAACCCCACAACGCCGAGCTGGTTTGGATAAGCTGACGATCTCTCCTTCTCTCCCCATAGGGTACGGGCAGTCCTGGGACGCAGCTGGACCGCAGCTGTAAAGCTTTTGGATCTAAAGTTGTAGCTGTGGTGGGGAGGGTTCCTGGCACCGTGATTTGGTGGATAAACAGAATTGAAAATCACATTGCCAGGGATTTCCACCTCTGCACAGTTCTTCAGGTACCCCACCTACACCACCAACCGGACCGGGGGTATTTTGTACATCCTATAACAGCACACAAAGAACCACAGATTTGTCTGAATTAGACTGTCAGGGCTCTTGTGTGCATGTGGCTCAACGTCAACACTGACCCTGTTTACTTTCATAATGCACGTTCCAGTTTTTATTGTGCTGGTTTTATCAGTCATCAGAATGTACTTGCTCCAACTTGGAAATGATTTTAAGAATTACTATTACTAATGCTCATAAATACGGAGCATGGTGATATGGGATGGGAGAAAAAATTGCGTTCTGTCGCAAAATTTTGGGTTTCCACCGAGAAACTTTGCGGGGAACTCAAAATATTTGTGAGAGATTTATGATTTTCTCATATCTCATATTTTTTTTCCCATCACCATGTCCCTTTAGGATACTTGGGATTAATGATTTAAACAAACCCTTGAGTCTAAAAATTGAACTTTGGTAGATTACTTTTCTAAGAAACCTTACTTACGGACTTGATTTTTTCTCAAAAATGTGCACAGAAACAAAATCCGCCAAGGATAAGGCCCATTCACACCAAGTACGATAACTTTAATAATAACTTTTTTTTAAAAATCGTTCTAAATTTGAAAGATTAACAGATTTCACACCACAACTATCCCAATTATGGCACAGAGAAACAATGTGATTGGAATCACTTCCAGAATGTTTTTTTTTTCCCAACCGATGATCCGTTCCCAATCAGAATCCATCCTGCTTTAAAGAGTTTGTGAAATTAAAGTGTCACGTGACTAAACTGTGCGTCGGTGTGGACACTATTATAATCGTTATAGCTACCATCATTGGTGGGGAGTTTTTCCTGGATAAACGGCACTTTAGAAAATGTAAAAGTCTTTTTTACGTACCACTTCCTGCAACATATTGAAATTCAGACTTTGTTTATGCAACCCTCTTTGGCATTTAGTTCATAGGAGTCCAAGTGCTTGGGATGTTTTTCAGACTCAATAACACAAACAGTGACTCATCGCTCTGGAAATATCATGTTTCCTCAGGAATGACAGATAATTGCTTACTGGAATATCGACAAAGGCAAAAGGGCATCTGGCAAGTTTAATATAAAATGGAGATGCAAACCAAGTTTGATGCTTAGGACGGTTATCAGACTATTGCCCGAAAAATCCTGAAGAAAATACTGCTGACTTTCAGTACAACAGCTTACAGTCCCAAAGCCTTCAATGGTGACTATTTTATTTTATTTATACAACTGTTTTTTTTAACGGCAGTCAATGCTTTTTAAAATCAAAATGGTTTCTTCAAGCAACATGGTCTAACTGAGCCAAACTAAGCCAAACATTGATACCTTGATATCAACAGTTTATGAGGACTTTTTTGTTCAAATCTAGCACACTGACTAAGTGGGTATAATTACCCAAGATACAGTACATCTTGTTTCTAGCTAATACGCCTCATTCGGTCACACCCTTTCCATCCCGAGCTGGTCCATCAGGTCATCACTTGCTCAAGGCGCAGAGCTTAGCTAATTGGTGAGCATTGATCCCTCAAGAATACTGTTCACAGTGGCTAAGTTCAGTGTCTGAAGTGAACTGTATGATGTATGGTCAGGTGGTCCAACTATATGCTCTGGCATCAGGGCAGGAACTGGGCGTATTGAAGGGTGGGATGCCAGTAAATGGGAAACCAGCTAGGACACGCACGCCAATGAGGCGGGTTAAGCTCTTAGAGCCATGGTTTGAATACTGTTAGCTGAGATGGATGAGACAAACATGTCCGGCTTTCATTTCACGGAGCAGGTTCTGACCACTTATTTTGAGCACAATGGAGGCACTGGCACACGAACTTAAAGTCCATTTAGACCAGTTAGTAAATTCACTACAGTCATTAAAAAACAGAAAGGTGATGTTCCAGGAAAGTAGGGACTACAACGAATCATTATCCGTCACTTTGATGGGCTAAGTTCTGCTCTATTTTTATAGTTTTCTTTAAAGCAGCCTTGTGTGGTGGTTAAAGGCCAATTTATACTTCCGCGTAGGGTGCGCGCAGTAGGTACGGCGTAGCATACGCACAGACGCGTACCATACCGCGTACCCTTCGCCGTAGTCTAACGCGCACCACCTCAAAAATGTAACTACATGTCGCGACGACGCGGACCGCAAGATCTGTGATTGGTCGGCTTGGTAGCATCGCATTTCCTCCTACGCATTTCCGCACGTACCATCTCCTCCGTCTTCTCTCGTTTCTGCCTTTTAGTTTTAGTAATTTCACTAAAATAAACTGTTTTTCCACCTCAATTAGCACGAACTCCAACTAGGGTTGCCGCGGTGAGGAAAATTTCCCACCGATTAATCGACGTGTGACAACACGGTAATCCCGGTGTCACCGGGGTTAAATAGCTTTTAAATGCGTGCGCGTTATACTTTCACTTTCGAAATAAGCGTCAATTGGCAATTCAGCGTCAATTGCTTGAATGGACAAAATAACAACTCGCTGTTATTTTATTTATTGACAGAACTTTTATTAGGATAACGAATGAATAAAATGTAGACCGAACTTTTATTAGCATAACGAACGCATAAAAATAACCCCATGCATTGGCTGAAAAAAGTGAAATTCGGCAAACTGTGGGCCCAAACAAATAATAACCATAAAACGTTTAGTAACGAATTAGAAAATAAAAGAGGCCTAAATAAATTACACAAAGTTTAAAGATAAAACTTTTTAAAAAGAGACGAATATAAAATAAAAACTTCAAAAAAGACCTTAGCCTACCTACATAAATGACATACTTTCACTTTCGAAATAAGCATCAATTTCAATTTAGCGTCAATTGCTGGAATGGACAAAAAAAAAAAACGCTTTTGCATTGCGTTTTGACACCAAATCTTCCGCCATTATCTTGCTTTTCTGTAATTTGACTCGTTCTCATCTCCACACGTGCGAAATGGAATCCTGATGCTTGCTGATCTGCGACGTGACTGGCTCTTGGCACGCACTGCGCAGTTCATTTTTAATTATAATGTATGTTCTCTTCTGAACTAAATAATATTTTTAATTAATTCAAATAAATTTTTTAGCAAAAACAAATACTTTAAAAAAAAGTCAAGATATCGCGGTGTCACGGTGGGAAAGTGATGTCACCAGTAGGGTTGGGTATCGTTTGAATTTGAACGATTCTGATTCCGTTTCCGATTCCTTGTTTCGATTCTGGTTCCTAACGATTCTCGATTCCAATTCTTTTAAGAGGCAGGGTCAAAAAAGTTTAGCTAACCTTGCTAACCAACGGCCTTTCTGAAGGAAATAATCCTTTCTGAAGGAAATACTCCTTTCGTCACAAATTTTGCATTTTGCCGAGATTTCGTTATTTTTAGAAAAGTGAAGCCGCACTTTGGATCGCCGACGTAAGGTGCTCATGTTCGACCAGCGCGGTTATGCCAACACTTCCGGTAGACACTTCTTCGTTGGTGTTGTTCAGTGGTTTCTTCTTCCACTCGGCGGACTGTGAATATCGAAACTAGGAATCGAAATTTTAACTTTTGAACGATTCCGGGAAAAACGAAAAGTTAGTCCCGGTTCCAATCGATACTCGATTCTCGATACCCAACCCTAGTCACCAGTGATGGGGCTTAAAACCGGTAACACCGTCAACACCCTCTATCGCGGCAAGCCTAACTCCAACATGATCCGCTCTCTTTCAGTCTCCTAACCTAGCCGCGAGGAATCTAAACACAGTGGAACATTAAAACCCTCCTCCGCCAACTAGCGTTTTGGAGCAGTACTGCAGAGCAACCAAGACCTGAACGCAGAAGTATAAATGCTCACGACGGCGTCCCGTACACTACGCCGTACACTACGGCATACCCTCGACGCAGAAGTATAAATTGGCCTTATTTGTGCAGCTTATGTCATTTTGGTGGTTGGTCGAGTTCAATAGTTTCAGCGGTAGTATTTTTTATCAATTTCGTTTTCTCATAGGGATATTTAAGAGTCGTAAAGAGTTATAAGTCATGAACCCAGTCAATCAGATTCGAGGTGAATAACAACATTAGAAAAGTTTGTTTTGACGCACAAAAATAGTTGCAAAAATGCAAAGGTACAAAAATGTGAACTTAACGGCTTTAGTGAGCGACAGAACTACAATTCCATGAAGCATTGCGGACAAAATAATTGAATTAAATATCATTGGAGAAATAAAATATGCATAGCACCGTAGGGAGACCGCCTCGATTAAGTCATTGGCAATGCTTTATGGGAGTATCTGTCTAGCAAATTCACCAAACAATGGTAAATGCGACCGTTATTGAGAACAAGATGGTACTTGTGTGTGTGTGTGTGTGTGTAGGGTTTTTGCTCTTGCCATGCTGCAGTAACTGCACTTTTTACCCACAATTAACTGCAAATTGGGGTCAGAGCCTTTTCAAACAAGGTGTGGTGTCATGAAAATCCCGGCAAATTATCCAGACAAATCCTCTCAGATCATTTGTGTTTTGCGATGGTTTGGTTTTGAGGGAACGATTGAGGGCTGTCCACTCTTGTGCCTGCTAAACTGGTATCAGTGTGCTGATTGAGTGCTGGCTCAGTTCAGCAGGAACAGAAGTGAGGTCCTAAACATCACTGCTTTACTCTCCTCCAATCAGAATGCGACATTCTTCAGTATCCTCCAATCAGCATTCAGTTTCCTTTACTCTCATCCTATCAGCATGCAGTGTACTTCTGTAGCCTTCAATCAGCATGCAGTGTCCTTTACTTTCATCCTATCAGCTTGCTTTGCACTTTAGTATCCTCCAATCAGCATTCAGTTTCCTTTAAGCTCCTCCAATCACAATGCAGTGCCCTTTACTCTCATCCAATCAGTATGCAGCGTGATTCAGTGTCCTCCAATCAGCATTTAGTGTCCTTTACTCCCATCCAATCATGAATTGTGTTTCTCATCAACTTGATAGCCTAAACATCTGTCATCAGTGAATATGAAACGTGTTTTCCGAGCGAACCGACCTTCATAAAATATGAATGGTTAACCATTAGAAGTCAAGGCATTGAGGATAATGGGATTTTTTGCATACTGATTAAAGCCATGTCCATTTTTTCTGCATTGTGTTCTGTCCTCAGCACAAGCATGGCCATCGCACGCTATCAAGATGTTTCAGGGTTTAGCTCATATTCGGCGTGCTTCAAAAAAGGCCTGCAGCGTCTCGGCGTGTTTGACAGTGTCAAAGATAGTGAAAATGAATTACGGCAAGAGACTTAATTTAGGTCGCGCTGCCATATCCATTTATGCATATAAAAAATGGAAGGCTTCAGGTGGATCATAAATCTACCTCAGACTGTTAACTTTCTGCAGCCTGCTTTGGCTTTCCCTTTTATGAGTCTTAACAGAGCTGCTCCTGTAACAGTTACGGAGAAGATTACAACTGGACAAACGCTGTGTATATAGCCTATAAATAATAACAAAAAAAAGATGAAAATCTTTTTAAAAAATGTTTAGTATGATACTGTTACATTTGCCAGAGTGCTCTGAACACCTTTTAGAATGTTGCTATGCAGTTGCTAGGGTGTTCTGAATATGTTTTAGAACGTTTCTATGCAGTTGCTAGGGTGCTCTGAACACCTTTTAGATTGTTGCTATGCAGTTACTAGGGTGTTGTTGTAGTTTTTGGAATGTTGCTATGCAGTTGCTATGGTGTTCGGAATACGTTTTAGAATGTTTCTATGCAGTTGCTAGGGTGCTCTGAGCACCTTTTAGAATGTTGCTATGCGGTTACTAGGGTGTTGTTGTAGTTTTTGGAATGTTGCTATGCAGTTGCCATGGTGTTCGGAATACTTTTTTGAATGTTACTATGCAGTTGCTTTGGTGTTCTGAATATGTTTTAGAATGTTTCTATGCAGTTGCTAGGGTGAACACCTTTTAGAATGTTGCTATGCTATTACTAGGGTGTTGTTGTGGTTTTTGGAATGTTGCTATGCAGTTGCCATGGTGTTCGGAATACTTTTTTGAATGTTGCTATGCAGTTGCTTTGGTGTTCTGAATATGTTTTAGAATATTTCTATGCTGTTGCTAGGGTGCTCTGAACACCTTTTAGAATGTTGCTATGCAGTTACTAGGGTGTTGAAATGTTGCTATGCAGTTGCTAGGGTGTTCAGAATACTTTTTAGAATGTTTCTATGCTGTTGCTATGGTGTTCTGAAAGGGTTTTAATGATGTTGCCATGCAGTTGCTTGGTTGTTCTGAGTGATTTTAACATATTGGTTTGAGGTTGCTAGGCTGTGCTTGAGTGGTTTACAGCACATTGCTATGCAATTCCTAAGGTGTTCAAAATAGTTTTAGGATGTTGCTATGGGGTTGTTAGGGTGTTCTAAGTGGTTTAGTACAAGTTTCTGTGCAGTTGGTAGGATGTTCAGAGTGATTTTTAACATGTTGCTATGTAGTTGCGATGGAATTCTGAGACATTTAGTGCGTTGCTATGAAGTTGCTAGGATGTTCTGAATAGTTTTAACATGTTGCTACTGTATGTGCTTCCATTCTTTTTACACTGTTGCTATGTTGTTACTAGGTTTTTCTGAGTGGTTTACTATTAGTTGCTAGGGTGTCAAAAACTACTACAATTCGATTGATCTGTCACATAGCATCTATATAGGAGTTTCCATATGGCAGGTCTTGTGGTCTTCAACCGTTCTCAGTCTGCAACATCGACAGCTACTTTTTGAAAACATTTGTGCCACTCAGAAACAATTATAGGTCATAAATGCATCAGTGAGAAGGAGCTGTAGGGATGAAAGCAGAAAGCCTCTTATTTTAGTTTCACAGCAATGTCAGAGGCCTTTTTTAATGCGCTCATGCGCTCAGAGACTGACCAGATTTCATGACGTGGCCTCCTTAAGATGTTTGATATTGTTTTGTTCCCTCCGCCACCGTGTAGTCAGTGTGTTTGCGGTCCAGACCAGAGCTGTGCGCTTTATAATTGGTTTAACTTGAACAAGACCAGCTGTGCAATAAAGCAGCAAAGCCGTGTGAAGAAACCGTTCGTAAATCCTTCGGGGTCACAATCCAGCGCATGGAGAAAAAGATTTGACATCTGTGCTGATTGTAAGTGGTTGTAATGTATTTATTAAAATAAAATATAAAGACATGTTGACACCAAATTAATGACTGTGAGGTCCTCATGCCACAGATGAACTGTCCCCCAATCAGCATGCAGTATGTGCTACTATCCTCCAGTCAACAAGCAGAACCCCTCACTCCCTTCCAATCAGCATGCAGCATGTTCTCCTGTCCTCCAATCAGCATGCACACCCTGTTTATTGCATTTGCAGAAGTTTTCTCAGGCAGCAACTGGGTTGATTTTATCCTTGAGTATCTCATGAGCAAGTTTAATCATGAAGCAACTGAATAACGATAAACACATGCTTAATTTCTTGTTTGGCAGACTCTTGTTCTAAAGGGAAGAATCATAGTTATGTTGCCCAGAGCCAAATGTCACAATGAAATTATATGCAAATCACAATAATAGGCCAGTTATCAAATATGTTGTATCTGATTTATGGAGACGTTCTTTCCCCACACAAACATAAAACAACATGTTTCTCTTAATTAAATGAAGTACTAGACAATGAGAACGTTGTGTATGCCTTTATTCCCGCTCTGAACTGTCAGTTAACTGAAATGTTGAATTAATTTGCATGGACTGTGAATGGTTTGAATGGACGCTAACCAGCTACAAATGTGCAGAAACCTTATTCGAGGACTTCGTCATCATATCTGTCTGCAGAACACCTGGAGGCGACGCGCGGTAATCACGTTTGCACGCAACCGCACTTAACCCTTTGTGCCCTCTTTAATGACAAGAACATAAATTTTCCTTCAAGATGTCATGCAGTCGTAAACTAAACTGTAATCATCCTAGGAACGTGTTTACAGTTGCATTTTTAGGTCAGTTCACGCCCAAAACGATGGCTATAAGCGTCGACACCAACGACAACATTCTGTTTATTAAAAGCGCGCGCTGCGGTTATAAAATCCGACGGTTTAATGTTCGCGCTTTGTGAAGTTCGGTGGATTCTGATTGGCTCTCAATGGACCCTTGATGTGTTTTAACAGTCATTAGCATCGTAAATCTAGCGTTTTTTACATTTTCAATTTCTTTTTAAATGTATGTACATTTATAACACTATACTTTTTATTATATTACCTTTGTGTCTTAAAAAACAGTTAACGCTGCTGCTGTATGCGGCTGTGGGCAAGACGATCAAATTTACATATTTTCTCTTATCAATCTGTCTAATTTTGTCCTCTTTCTGAAAGTTGTGCAAACACTGTTGTGGAGTTTCTTTCTTTTGCTATTTGAGCAAAAGGGAACAGGAAAAATATATTTAGTTTCTCATTGGCCGCTACAGAAGTTTACCCACATTATGACGACTTCCACTTTTGAGAAACCCGGAAATGTGAAAAGGGACACGATTTCATAACAAACACACTTCAAGTATGTGCTGATGTGTAAATGTATAATTCCCTCAAGTATTTCAATAAACTATACTACAGGTAAAATGCTAATGTTTCTTTCCTGTTAACATGTGGCCATGTTAATTTCTTCCGTCCACTGTGCATTCTTCCAGTTGCTGTCTGGATTGTCCAGGTGGTTTTAAGATGGGCTGTCATGTTATTTTTGGAGGGCTGTGGTTTCCCATCCACACTTCAATGTTTTTTTTTATTTTTTATATATATATAGCCTATTCTTGAATGCTTGGGTGGATTTCAAAATGTGGATCTGAATGTATCAATACAAAGTCCTAAAGTTTGGTCCTCTAAACCTAAACCACTGGGTATCTGAATAGTATTGTGTAACGTGCATTATTATTATTATTAACAAATAAGTTTAAAATGAAAATACCCAATGTCCTTTGCAATGTTGCATTGAAGAAGTCTGTACATTGTCTTGTCTCCCCCTTGTGTTCAATGAAGGATACTGACTGAGAATCAATAGCAATCAATTAATTTTTATTTCCTTTACACAAAAAAAACTTTCCTGTTACCCTAAAACTTTAAAACAGTTTTACATGTGCATGCACAAAAATATACACATTTCACTTTAAGTAGAACATGAAGATATAATACTTAAATTACAATATATTACTTTTACATTAAACAACAATGAAAGGCAGTTTGTTTTTGAGAATCTTACAGGTCTGATTGCTTTGCTTTGCATTCAGCTCAAATGTATTACACGAGTTGCATTTTATTTATGTTTTGTATGTTTTTGTTGCACAGCCGCTCACTTTTAAAGTCCTTTCTGCATGTTTTGACCATCACACCAGCTGATTTTTAAAGTGAGAAAGTGAAAATTGAGTTTGTAGGAGGTGCAGTTCCTGTGGCGAAGGAGAAACACACCTGCCCACCGCGAACTAACCGCTTGATGCAGACAAACAAGAAGTGGTGGAGCTGAGGCGTGTTTTCTTCCCGTTCTTCGGTTCGGGTTGAGGGCTGGTGCTCAAGTTTCGCACCTTGCTGAAGCTGTTGCGCAAACTGCTGTGTCGACTCCCCGAGGTGCTGGAGGTCTCCTGGGTCATGAAGGTCTTGGCATCGCACAGTCCCGCCGTCAGACAGCAGCAGCAGAGTAGAGTTGCGATGGCTTTGCGTAACTCCAGGCTGCCGAACGAGTAAATGAGCGGATTCATGGCGGAGTTGAGTACGGCTAGGGCGATGACCCATTCGGGATTGAAGAGCGTGCTGCAATTGCGAGAGTAGCAGAAGAAGTCCACCAACAGGAGGATGAACAAAGGTCCCCAACACACCATGAAGACACCCACGATTGAGATCACAGCCTTCAGGAGGCGCAGGGAACGCTTACGGCTGCGTGCCGATATTGTCTCGGTGCTACTGCGGACATGGCAGTAGATCGCAAAATACAGCGCGCCGATTGTGAGCAGGATTATGAAGAAGATGACCAGGGCGAACAAGATGTAGCTCTTGGAGTAGAGCGGCAGAAGTGTGGAGCAACTTCTGAGGTCGCAAACGCAATTCCAGCCCATCAGCGGAAGGAAGCCGATTATTAAGGCTGTTATCCAGCAAAGCACCACCATTAAGTAGATTCGGTACGTTTTCGTGGCGGTTTTCTGGTGGACGGGCTTCATCATAGTGGCGTAGCGCTCCACGGCGATCAAGAGCAGGCTGAATATGGACGCCGCTAACGCCACAAACAGAAGTCCTTCACGGAACAACCACAGAACTGGGCTTAGCTTGAAAGTGCGTTCGCCGGACATGCAGATGTTGACCACGTAGGCGCATCCCGTCAATAGGTCGCTCAGCGCGATGTTGGCGATGCAGATGAATATCCAGCGATGACGCAGGCGTACGCGGAACAGCACCGCTAACAGCACCATGAGGTTCTCCAGGATGATGAAGACGCTGATAATCAGGAACAGGACGGTGACGGCGCTGACGCTGCTCTTCGAGGGCTTGCGGTGCTGGAGGCGCCCGGTGAAGTTGTAGTGCCCCAGGATCAGGCTGTTGCTGGTCCAGTTGTAGACGTCTGGACAGGAAGAGGCGGAGCTGAAAGATCGCAGGACATCCATGGTGTGAACGGCAGGAGCGTGGAGTTGAATCTCGCTGGGGTCGATTCGGTCGTCGATGCAATCGGACGCCAGGCAATCAGACTCCGGCTCCTTGATTAACCTTTCCCTTTCGGAATAACCTGACGGAAAAGTGAAAATAGTGGGTTCATGAACTGAATAAATATCAAAAATCAAGCTTTTAAGGTTGTCTATTACCCCTTTTCCACCAACAAGAACCAGGTGCTGGTTCATAGCTAGAGCTAGTGCCGGTTCGGAGTTGGTTCGACTGACGAGCTTTCAAAGAACCGGTTTGCCTTTCCACAGGCTAGAGAGCCATCACAGAGCCAGATCTTACATCACTGTATACATCTCGTGTTGCCCAGCAACGCTAGCGCGGCACACACAAACACACCAGGCTTGTTCGAGATGGTTCGGCACTGCGAATCTCGAACTGCGAGAGCGAATCGGAAAAATCGTTAGAAAAATATTCGATTCAAAAGCAGGAGTCGTATGCTCTCAGTCCACGCCGCTCCGATGCATCTCGAACAAGCCTTCCATCAACATTGGCGGTTGTTGCGTTACTATTTATGCTCATGGCTTTGCAAACATCGGTATCTAAACACAGCGAATCCAGCATGTCCGTGCAGCTCGCCGTAATTTGCATTAAAGGGTTAGTTCACCCAAAAATGAAAATTAAGTCATTAATTACTCACCCCCATGCTGTACCAACCCCGTAAGACCTTCGTTCGTCTCCGGAACACAAATGAAGATATTTTTGATTAAATTTGAGAGCTGTATAACTACCACATTGGCTCCTAAGGGACTGGCTCTTGACGGCCCAAAAAGTCAATGAAGAAAATGTTTAAATATCCCAAGTGACTACCGTGGCTCAACTATATGTTTATCAAGCGACGCGAATACTTTTTGTGCGAAAAAACAAACAAAAATAACGAGTTTATTCGACTATTTTTTTCTTCCTTGTAGGCCAGAACGAGACTTCCTTATAGATTTCCACGACGCATGCGCGAGAATTGCGATCTGAAGTGGTGTAAGCTGGTGTACGCAGATCGCAAATCTCGCGCATGCGTCGTGGAAATCTATAAGGAAGTCTCGTTCTGGCCTACAAGGAAGAAAAAAATAGTCGAATAAACTCGTTATTTTTGTTTGTTTTTTCGCACAAAAAGTATTCGCGTCGCTTGATAAACATATAGTTGAGCCACGGTAGTCACTTGGGATATTTAAACATTTTCTTCATTGACTTTCTGGGCCGTCAAGAGGCAGTCCCTTAGGAGCCAATGTGGTAGTTATACAGCTCTCAAATTTAATAAAAAATATCTTCATTTGTGTTCCGAAGACGAACGAAGGTCTTACGGGGTTGGTACAGCATGGGGGTGAGTAATTAATGACTTAATTTTCATTTTTGGGTGAACTAACCCTTTAACTGAGGCCCCGTCCACACTACTGCGTTTTCGTTTAAAAACGGAGACCTTTTGCTACGTTTGCACCTCCCGTCCACACTAAAACGGGAAAAACGAAGACCTAAAACGGAGAAGTTTAGAAACGCTGCAGCTGCGTTTTGCGTTTTGAATCTCCGGAGGGCGTTTTAGTGTAGACGAGACAAAACGGAGGAGTTTACAAACGATGACGCAGAGGCTCACGCTCAGCTCTATGATTGGGTGTTATCAGTCATGACGTATCCTTCCCTGATTCGTCATTCACTGTTTACACCGGCGCGCGCATGCCCAGTGTTGGTGAATGGTCACGTGATCTGCGTTTTCAGTCGTTTTAATGTGGACTGAGATCGTTTCTAATACGCAGATAAAACGCTGGTGTGGACGGAGATCGTATTCGTTTTAATTCTCCGTTTTTAAACGAAAACGCAGTAGTGTGGACGGGGCCTGAGATTTCGAGCTGCTATGATAGCATGATTAGCTGCTTTTTAAAAAATGGCGGTCACAAATTTCTATTCGTCTTGTTGGTCACGGTAACCCCGCCCCCAGCCGCTGACGTAAGCGGTTCTTACTTCTAGACCAGCAGTGCTACTTAAAGGGATACTCCACTTTTTTTTTTTTGGAAATAGACTCATTTTACAACTCCCCCAGAGTTAAACAGTTGAGTTTTACCGTTTTCGAATCCATTCAGCCGATTTTTTTGATATTTCGAAGAAAATCAGTAACCAGACAGTTTCTGGTCTCATTGACTTCCATATCGGAAAAAAATATACTATGGAAGTCAATGAGACCAGATATTGTCTGGTTACTGATATTCTTCTAAATATCAGAAAATCATCTGAATAGATTTGAAAACGGTAAAACCCAACTGTTTAACTCTGGAGGAGTGAGCCTATTTCCAAAAAAAGTGGAGTATCCCTTTAAGAACCACTTTTACTGGTTCGGAGCTGGTGCTTTGGTGGTCGAAAAACAAAGTACCGATTTGAACCTAGGCTCTGGCTTGGTGGAAAAGGGGTATATATTTGTATATATGTGGTGTTTTTAATATGCTTTATATGTAAATTTGCACTGTTTTTAAAATAATTGTTTTCTATTTAGTGTGAAGAACATTTTAATAATCGTAAGAATCTTTTTCTATGTTTCTAAGAACGTCTTGTGCAATGGAAAAAAAAAATAAAATAAATAAAAGCCTTTATTTAGCCTCAAAAATAAAATAAAATAAAGGTTAAAAAAAGAGTTTTTGCCATAGAAGAACCACTGTGAAGAACTTCAATGATCTAAAGAACATTTTCCCACTTAATTCAATGGAAAGCTTCCATGGATGTTTAAGGTTCTTCATGGAAACATAGACGCCAAAAAATAATCTTTATTTGTATGCTAGATTTTGTCAATCCAGGAACACATCTTACTTGGTAAAATCACCATCAACCTAAAGGTGGTGGCCGTAAAATGCTAATTTCAGCAAGCTAACATGATGCCATGTGAATATAAAAATGAATCTGGCTTGCGAGTTCACATTACTGGGAGAGTCCCGCTTGCATTGTCTTGCTCAAGCGTAAAAGGGTGTCACTACAGAAATACTATTTGCGGTGCCTGTTTCGGTTGCCAGATTTGGTAACCGCCAGATTACACCACCGCCCACAAAATACAGAATAATGATGAGAAAAGGAAGGAATAATTAAAATAATTATTTGTATATTTCTAAAAGTGTTATTTTAGAAGTAAACGCATCTTGAGCTTGACCTAATTTCATCTGCCCATGTGTACAGTACATTTAAATATCTCTAGTTTCACTACTGCTGTTGTGGTTAAGAGGGTATTTCAGCGTGGCCAGGTTTAAAGAGCCAACACGTGCAATAAAACAATAAACAATTAAATATTTGCTTAATATAATGCTTCATTTAAATAAGAATAATTATATTTTTCATGTTAAAAGCCAATGCAATAACAGGTTTTAATCTCAATAATAAACATTTCGGTTGAAATTACTACAAAATAGTCCATAAAAGACATTGATAAATTAATATGCATATGCTATTTTTTTTTTCAAAATAAAAACCAAGGACATTTTGCTAGTGCATCTTAACTCACCTCTTATTAGTGATGCTGGTGGAATTGGTAATGAGCCATGCTCTGATGCAGAAAGCTCGAGCACTGGGTCTCTCAACCATTATATATCCTGCACTAACAAGGAAGGAAGCTTTCTTGCAGATTTTTGACACACCCAATGGAGAAAGCTAAAAAATTATCAGTTTCTACATTGTTTCTAAAATGCACAATTGTGACATCTTCCCAGAATATGGGCAAATCGTGGTTTACCATGAGAAAAATCAAGTTGCACTTTATGCAATAGGATTTGGTAAAGAATATTGTACATTTTGTACATTGACGATTTGTCATTTGTGTAAACACTATTTGCACAGCCTGAAAAAACACAAAGTGAAATATAATAAAGAGATAAATCAAGCAATATTAAATGTATATTTATTTTTAATTGTTTTCTATTTATTATGCAATTTACAATATTATATCTGCAATAAAATATTTTAATGGACAACAATGATTTAGTACTACTACAGGAAGCCATTGTGGCAGTTTCTAGTCAGCACGTGTTGCAGTAATGAAAACATTTTGCAAGACCCTTTAAATGCACTGATGCTATACACAAATATCCTTACAACAGTTTTCAAGTTGCTTTAACTGACATTTCTCAGAAGCCAGTCAGCAAACAGGAAGCACGATGACCTAGTAGATGTGGCCTCCTCCCTTACTGTTTTCACCTCATCCAGCTGGGTGGAAACACACACACACACACACTTGCAAACATAAATCATCCACATGTCTGTTTAATATGCATTACATTTTCAATCAACAAATAAAGCTGTTTTTTCCTAAATTTTCCAATACTGACAAGGGAATGCTTGCCAATCATAAATATTTTGGATGTGCAATGATCCATTACAGTTTTCATAATGTTTTATACATTAAATAACTGCTTTACTGATGGCTGATCCAGAGTGAAAATGAACTGATTTAGTCCTTTTTTTGTCTATGCATGGTTTCTTTGCTGTCCTGCAAAACATTTTTAAACAGGCAGTTTCTTTTCTTAATTTGTGTTTGTATTAATCTAACCCAGTAAATGTTGGGGTGAGATAAAGGAGGGGGGACTTCTGAAACTACCACATCCTGAAGTAAGAAGCAACACCCTTCACAGTTGCCAACGCCCTCGCGACATTCAACTCTGAAAATAAAAAAAGGTGTTATCAGAAAAAGCCACAAAAAAGACAAAGAGTGTCACTATTAAGCATGATCACGTCAGCACAAACTCAACCTGCGTGATAAATAGGATGTTTACAGCTTCAGGAAAGATTCAAGCAGACATCTGAAAGTGCACAGCAGTGTTTTATTGTAGGATTAGCTACAAAAAAAGTAAGTGTCGTTTTAACGTCAATGTAAATCAAGTAGGCCTGCATTAACGTGCAAAGAACGAACCTGATTGGTCCTTGCAGAAGCTCAAATGTGATATGTAACATGAGAACGAACCTGATTGGTTCTTGCAGAAGCTCAAATGCAACACGAGAATGAAATGTAGGCCATTCTTCTTTAGATGCCTTCAAACATTAAACAAGTTATCGTGTCGTTAGAGCCGATCCTGACCTCCCGGGGCCCTAAGGTCAATTCTGTTCAGGGGCCGTCCTACCTGACACAGTCACACCTGACACCCCATTTCTCCCAAACCTCCCTTCTTACCTAGTACTAATGAAAATGTAATTCCTGATATCAGAAATAGACATTGTTACTACAATTTTAAATAGGCTACACATTGAATTATGGATATCAAAAAAGCATCCTGTGAATGAATAAAAGCTCAAATGGCTTGCCATAGCATGATGAAAGCAATACTTGATTTGATGATTATTTACTGAGGGATGTGCATCCATATTGAGCACTATGTCCAGCCAATCGACATTTTAAATGCAATATCATATAGTCAATGTCCATACATTGCGTTCCATCTTGCTTTATTGCAGAGTTGTGACTAAACTGATTTGGAGACTAGATAATCATTGTCTTGTTTTAAAAGTATGTGCGCCTGAGTGTCATCACGCCCATATATTGTAGGCTAAGAACTATGGCAATGTTGATATCAACAATTAAATTCTTGATATCAAAAAATTTAATTGTTGATATCAAGAATTCATATCCTGGAAATGAATAAAAGCTAAAACGGCTTGCCGTAGCCTATGGTGACATTTAACTAGTGAAAATTACAATTACAGATATCAGCAATTCAATTGTTGACATCAACAATGCCATTTTTTTGATATCAAGAATTCAGTTGTTGATATTAATTTATTTAATTGTTGATATCAAAAAATGGCATTGTTGATATCAATAATTCAAATGAATAAAAGCTAACACGGCTTGCCATAAAGAACTGGCCCCCACAGATGATCTGCGCGTTCCATTTCGTGCACGCGCAACGCATGTAACGCGCGACGCGGTTATCTTTTCCGAGCTGCAGTTTGTAAACAAAAACCGTTGCCCTTTGTATTACCAAACGTAAGAAATGGTTGTAGCTATTTCACTCTCACTTTTTATCAGGCACAAAGACACAGAACACAGCCCTGGAAGTGGTCGGCATTAGTAAGGCAGACCGACTATGCACTAGACAAGGGAGATGCACATAAACTTAACTTTACTATTCTTTGCTGACATCAAACTTGGAGAGGAGAGAACACATTCACTGTCATTGTGCTTTTTTTTCTCTCTTTTCGTGACCAGATAGTTCCGCTTAACTTTCTCATCGATGTTGTAAACTTTGATTGACGTGTTTGACACGAGAGGGAGGCGGGGCCTTGAGTAATTTGCGGGGTCCTCTACGTCTACGCAACTTGCGTAGTGTGCGTGTAGGGCTGATCGGCTCTGAAGGACACTTGGCATTGTTCAGTATCTGAATTTCTACTGACATCTATCTGTAGTTTGATGTAATCACTTTTCAGTTTTTTTTTTAAACACGTTGCACTTCTCACATTTAACCACAAGGCTTTGCTCTCTGCTCACCTTTACCAGACGGACAGTTTAGTAAGATCTATAGTCTTTCGAACTTCATGGTGACTCAAAAACGCCTATATGAGTTTTTTTTTTTTACTTTTCTTTATTGGAATGACAAATACCGTGTTAAATGTCAAACGCTTTCAGAATTCGATTAAAAAATATAACAGAAATAAAGCAAAAATAACGTAACGTTAAATTGGCGGTGCATGTAGAAATTATATTATAATATACTATATTATAAATGAAGGAACAACCCTGGTGTCTGGCTGCAGTTCCCTTTCATCCGCCAGGCGGCGCTGTTCAGCATCTGTTCCACACGAGAGAAGTTTTCCTGGCTGTGTGTTTGTAGATCGACAGCACAAAGCTCTCGGATCGCATTCACCATGTCCGTGTGTCCTCTCCGGACTCATATCTCTGGGTTATGTTTTTAAAGAGATCTCTGGGGTGGAAATAAACCTGTCTGGATGAAACTGATGAAGAGGCGACCTACTGGATGAAGAGGAGGAGCCGCACACACGTTCACACAAACACACGGACACAAGCGAGCAGACACGTTTATTAACTTATGAAAGATGAGAAGCTTCATTCAGCACAACACGCACAAATCAAGGTAAGTTTACCGGCTGTTTTTATTATTTCATTTATTCGAGTTGTTTTCGACTCCGCGACGGCGAACAGAAACTTTCCGGGTGGCTGGAAGTGAAAAGGCTTTTGTTTCAAAATCATAAGCAACATTTCTGATCAAAGCAACTTAAATGTTTTCTCGAAAAAAATAGCGGTTAAGGTAGAAAGTAACTCACAGGCACATTAATAAACGATAAAAGTACGTTCGCAGCGAAAGGGCTCGATATTTAGCGAACTTCCCGGATTGCGCCTTTGTTAGATTGATACAATGTAACCTTTAATCATTGATTTCCCGCTTTGTTGTGGTCGTTCATTGTACGCAAATCTGAACTCTTGTTTAATATTTCTCAATGATACAATCTGCACTTCGTGAATGAATTCAATGGAGATAACCCTGTTGGGATCTCGGGTTGAACCTCTTACTTGTTGCATTGTACTTCATTGTGTTTTTCATATGTCAGAATTATGACCCACAATGGGGTTTGTTGCTAATACTATTTATGGTCACATTTAAGATTAGTCACAAAGCTTCAAGTGTTTGCATATTAGCATCATAATACAAAGCCCAGTAAATCGTTATTGTCTTTGGAAAAACCAATGGGATGGTGGTCACCCCTGTCTGGACTGTAGGGTTGGCCTTTTTCTTCAACTATGACTGACTTCTATCCTCCTACTGTCTGTGTTGAACAGCCATGGAAATAACCCATCATCATCACCAAAAACAGAAACTTGACAGGAAGCGAGAGAAATTTTTGCGTGTCATGTGTTAGTGTTATTTTTGTTTGTGAATGAGAAAACGCCTCTTTCCTCAACGCAAACGAAGATCTGTATAGGTTCAATCAATGTATGAGTCGAAGAGAATTTAACAACCTTTAAAGAGGTCATAAAAATCAGAATGTACTTTTTTCAATCCATGTTCCTGCTCTTATTGTGAACAATTCATATTGTGTTACTGCTAGTGTTGACAAAAATACCAACTTGGGTACCAAGTTGTTACTGAAATTTAAAAAATGTGACAAAACCAGCATTTCCCTCTAGCATTTGTAGCGCCTTTGAACAGATTCCCTAAACACCTCTAGTTGGCCATTTGGTTCACACGCTCAACATATATATGTCTCTTATTGACCATTGCCTTCACCCGATCAACATACGTGTCTCTGATTGGCCATTGCGTCACACGCGCAACAAATACATGTCTTCGATTGGCCATTGCATTCACACGATCAACATATATATGTCTCTGATTGGCCATTGCCTTCACACGCTCAACATATATATGTCTCTGATTGGCCATTGCGTTCACACGCTCAATATATGTCTCTGATTGGCCATTGCGTTCACACGCTCAATATATGTCTCTGATTGGCCATTGAGTTCACACGTTCAACATATATATGTCTCTGATTGGCCATTGCGTTCACACGCTCAATATATGTCTCTGATTGGCCATTGAGTTCACACAATCAACATATATATGTCTCTGATTGGCCATTGCGTTCACACGCTCAATATATGTCTCTGATTGGCCATTGAGTTCACACGTTCAACATATATATGTCTCTGATTGGCCATTGCTTTCACACGCTCAATATATGTCTCTGATTGGCCATTGAGTTCACACAATCAACATATATGTCTCTGTTTGATTGGACATTGCGTTCACACGCTCAACATGTCTCTGATTGGCCATTGCGTTCACTCAATCAACATATATATATATATGTCTCTGATTGGCCATTTGGTTCACACGCTCAACATATATGTCTCTGATTGGCCATTTGGTTCACTCAATCAACATATATGTCTCTGATTGGCCATTGCGTTCACTCAATCAACATATATATGTCTCTGATTGGCCATTGCGTTCACACAATCAACATATATGTCTCTGATTGGCCATTGCGTTCACCGTTCACACAATCAACATATATGTCTCTGATTGATTGGCCATTGCGTTCACACGCTCAACATGTCTCTGATTGGCCATTGCGTTCACACAATCAACATATATATGTCTCTGATTGGCCATTGCGTTCACACAATCAACATATATATGTCTCTGATTGGCCATTGCGTTCACACAATCAACATTGGCCATTGCGTTCACATGCTCAACATATACATGTCTCTGATTGGCCATTGCATTCACATTGCTCATTGTAGCCAATCACAGACATGTTGCGTTCCTGAACACAATGGCCAATCAGAAACCGATATATGAGCTTGTGAACTCAACATTCATAGTTGTTTAAGAATCCATTCAACAGCACTCAAAATACTAGAGGGAAATGCTGGTATTGTCACATTTTTAAATTTCAGAACCGACTTGGTACCAAAGTCTGTACTTTTGACAACACTCAAATGTGCATGACACTCCAAATAATATGTTTGTTTTTATATTAATCCCAAAATTCTGGCTAATATTTGGCCGTTTTGAGCGGATCTACATTAGCTGATAACTGCACCTCTGTTTTGTGTTGACTTTAATGATTTGTACTTTATGTAACGTGACCGTGAACAGCATAATAGAGGGGGTGGTTCATATTGAGAAACTCTTCAGTGACTTGGAGACGTGAACAGGAAGTAGATATGCTGATGAATGTAGACATAGTCATAGGAAATTCAGGTTGCCAGGAGTGTTATACGACTGGGTGTCCCTGCCCTATTTACTCTTTCACTTTTTCTTTTTTCTGTTTTTTTTGTTTTGTTAAAGGGTTATTGTGAAGTTGAGAGGGCGGCCCACAAAGCTTTTTTGTTGCACCATATGTGCACTGACGTATTGAAAGGGAACCACTGAATGAGAAACCTGGAAGTAGGGCTGGGCAGTATCTCTGTTCAAATATCACAATATTTTTTAGCCCTAAATATTTAATATATAAATCACTAATTGTATTTTGCTCTAAAATGGCTTTTTTTCCATCAACCAAATGAGTCATCCTTTTTAAACCCATAATTGTTGCAAAAATGCACTTTTTTTTACTAAATTAACTAACTGAAGAATTGTTTGTTTATTTAATAATTTATTTTAAATGCACTAATATAACTACAGTATTATTTTTACATATGTTTACTAAAACTTTGATAGCCTAAAAAAGCGAGATTTTAGCTGTCAAATATTTTTAAATAAAATGTTGTTGTTGTTGCGTTTCAAAGTACAAACAGTATTAACATTTTTTATTTTTTCAGTTTGTTTAAAAAAAAATATTTAACCATTCACTAACCACAGTATGCTTCTATTTTTACTAAAACCTTTACGAAAAAATGCTAAGCTGAGATCTCGTACAATTTGTGCTAAATATTTGATGCATTGGAGTTTTGAATCGATTGACTTCTGAGAATCAATTACTTACAGAAATGAATCTAACATCTACTTAAGTTTATTAAAACTACTTTCTTATCATTCTCTAGTTGTGAGATAAGGAAGGATTGAAAAATTTGGCTGCGTATTTGGGAAATCAAATTATTTCAATATTATTGATCTTGTTTTAAATCTTTACCTGCATGCAAATGTGAAAACTTAGGCTTATTTGTTTTGTTTTTTCCCTGTAATGCTTGAATATGAAGCCATTGGTGATGCATAAACCAGTGCTTCATATTCATCCATCATAAAAGCCCAGTAATGACTATTGACGAGCAGATGGCTAGAATTAGATATCCATTTTCTCCACAAAGAAGCGGTCTTCCTCTCGAAAATCTGCAAGACTTGCAGATGGCAGTGGAATGCTTCCCTAATTTAGTGAAACATCATTCGTGGTCCGGTCACTCATCTGTTTCACTGTGGTAAAGACAGGCTTTTAATCTAGAAGTTGCCCCAAAGTGGCCTGACAGCGATGCATTATGGGTGTGTTGGTTTTTGGAGGGGGGTTGAGAAGGAGATAAAAGCTTTCAAGTATCAAGCAAACTTTGCGGTGCTCACTCGAGATGACGCACACGTGGTAGGAGCGGACGGAAATTGTTAAAGCTAAGCTTGGACGGTCTTGCTAGCAGTTTCTCATCGTCCAATCCAAGTTTATAAATAACCCTAATTATAGAGCACATGAAGAAATGAGTCTAGCCGACACACATTCGGTCTCTGTTTCGCATTAACCCCTTCTAAACCGCGTTAGCCTGACATGTCTGACTGTTTAGGTCAGCCGAATAGCTAGCGTTAATTGTCTAACCTTTAGTCAGAGAGACAATGTGCCAGAGAAATACTGTCCCGGAGATGAATGGGAGTCTGCATTTGCGCTGGTGTCAGCGGGTTGGTAATGGTGTGGTTTTGATGTTGGACTGTATTGATCTCATGCAAGAAGCGTGTGTCTGAGTGGAAAGTGGCCGGAGAGGTTGGAGAGAGACTTCATAAAAGACCCCCTCAGTCAGTCGAGTCGTGCTCATTAACCGTGGCTGTTAGCGTCGACAAACAGCTGTGAGATTTCTGTTGACTTTTGCTTGATTATCGACGCCGTTTGTTTAGTAAACGAGCAGACATTGCGCCATTCTCCTCTTCATTTGATGTAAACACGACGCAGGAGGTTTAAAGCCCGCGAAATGGGCCATCGATTTACACGACCTCATGTGTAAACGCTCATAAAATAAATCAATCGAAAATATGTTGTTGAAGACAGAAACTTTTTTCCATTGTGACATTAATTTCATGTCAGTTATGCACATGTTGCCCAAATTTAAACATTTATGATTATTATTGTAGCCAGGTTAGTATTATGTTTCTTTATACATCTATAAACTTCTTAATTATAAAATGTATTATTTATATAGTAAAGCGAAATTGCTTAATATTCATAATGGTAGGCTATTTGTTATTATATTATATTTTGTTTATAAATCTGTCACAATAAGTGCTTTTTTCATAATGTAAATTTGTATGATTGTCATGCATGTAATATACACACTAAACAATGCTGGGTTGTTTCAACCCAAATTTGGGTCAAATATGGATGAACCCAATTGTTGGGTTAAATAATTTAAAATTTTAACCCAACTTTCACT